TCCCATTGATTTTCATTCCACCATTGTTAAGCGCTCTGAAACGCTGCCAGGCATGGAGGGCACTGTATAAGTGCAAGTTGTTATTATTATTAGACTCTGAGAATACTGAGTTTAGCTTTGAGGCAGTCATCTCCTGCTCCCCTTTGTCTGACACTGTCGCTGGGAATTTTTCCTAAACATTATTCTATATGAAGGACGCTAGATAAATGTAAGTTGTTGACGTATCTGAAATAGGTACTAAGCTTTTTTCTCCCAGCATTACCTGACAGAGATGTTTGGAATAGTTTTCTATTCTTGATTTAAATTGTTATTATAGCATACGATTGGCAAACAAAATAACCAGTTTGGGAGTGTATTAAAGGTTGTAAGACATTTTGCCGTTCAGATGAAGAGAAAGTAGGTCAGCATCTAAAAAATAAAGATAGTGATCTGTATGTTTCCTGACCATTGCCATTACCTCTTTCCTGAAAAAAACACCCTTAACCCTTCAAAATTCTTCAGCCATTGGACCATCTGCAATTTGCCCTTCCTATCCATGAGAAGTGGCCATAGAGCAAAAAACAAGGGCAGTAATCACTTTGGAGAGGTTCTTGAAGCTCTTCACAATGGTCAATACTGGATCTTTGTCAAATCATCACTGCTTTGAGACCTGCGGTTTTGACTGTTCCTGTAACCTCACACAAGGGATATACTCTCTTAAGTGTAGATTAATCCCCCTGATTACTTATGATGTAATTTTTCTGTGTGCTTGTACTTCAAAAGACCTTTTCAAAATACATTTTATCCGTTTCCTGGCCTTCTTGCCTTCTCCTTCACTGAACTTTTTTTCTCTCAACTACTTAGTTCATCTTGTATCTTTCTTTAACCTATTATTATCATGGATGCTGTGTCTTTGTGGTAGTCTGATGTCTCCTTTCTTTTCCCTTTTTAGCCTTATTATTGAGCATATGTCTAGCTGTAAGTATATATTTCCAACCTGTAGTTTTGCTGCATCATATTATTTCATGTCTTTATTATTCTGATGTGACTCATTGATAGTTATGCTGGTGTTTCATTTACTTTTGTATTAATAAAATGTTTTAAATAAAGTTTAATACACAGTATTTCTCCAGCATGTTAATGAAACTCATGAACAAGATCAAATACTAAATTAACCTCAGTCTAATATGAACATTATATTCATTGTAGGGTACCCTAACTAATTGCATGTGACCATTAACCGGTTGGTAATAGCCAGGGAAATAACTAATTAATAAAGATCAGTTCTACATTGATTGGTAATCAGTATCATCAGTAATTATTATCACTAAAATATCATGGATAGAATTGAAAGATGCATGTCAGAGCTTATGATTCCGCACAGATTCTTAAACAAATCCAATAACAAGTTGATGGATGTTTCCATAAATTGAAAACAGGCAGCATGGATTCAACCAACTTTATTGTAAAAGGTGTAAATACAAACGTACACTCAATATAAGGCTACCTAGCACTGCCTAGTGGGCAACTGATAATTTTGGTGTTTCCATAAATTTACCATTACCACATCCTTTACAGAATAGTAGCTGTACTCGATGCAGCTACGCTTGCAACCAGTTTCATTTAATCGGCCTTCTCTCTTTCGTCTGGCATTTTTATTTGTCCTTGAAAGGCTTGATCTTCGCTTCTTAGGCATTTTTATCACTTAAGATTAAGAAAATGTGCTATTGAACTCGTTAGCATCCCTTGTTCACATATTTGCACACATATCTTTTTGGGAGGACTCCTGTGGGAGGACTCCTTTGGGAGGACTCCTCTTGGAAGGACTCAGTGGGAAGAGTCAGTGGGAGGACTCCTGTTGGGAAGATTCAGTGGGAGGCCTCAGTGGGAGGTCTCCTGTGGGACGACTCCTAGTTGGGAGGACTCCTTGTTGGAACCCATACATGTGTGATGAGCTTGTTTAGGTCATGATAGGAGATCCCTGAAAAAAATATGCCCATGACTCTCCCCCATACAAGACCTTTCCGATGAGGTATAAATCATGTCTCCACGTCAATTTTTTTTTTGCGTTCTCAGTGGACAGACACACAGACACTTTGTCTTTATTAGTATACAAGTAGTTCATAGGGGCAAAAAAAGAACCTTGAATGATTGAATGGTGCATGATAAGAGAGAAAAATAAGTGTTTAGTAGAATTATATAGATTTACATTGTGGTACAGCACACAAACAGACCATTTTACCCAAATAGTCCATGTGGGTATTTATACTCCATACAAACCCCCACCTCTCCTATTCTCCTCATCTATAGCCCTCTAAACCCTTTTCCCTTGTATATAACATAACATAACATGTAGGAGCAGGAGTAGGCCATTTGGCCCGTCGAGCCTGCCCCGCCATTCAATCATGGCTGATCTTCTAATCTAACTCCAGCTAATAACCTGACCCTGCCTTATCCCCATATCCCTTAATCCCTTTTACAATAAGAAATCTATCTATCTCAGTCTTGAATATGTTCAAGGACTGAGTGTCAACAGCCCTTTGGGGTAGTGAGTTCCATACATTCACCACCCTTTGAGTGAAGAAGTTCTTCCTCAACTCAGTGCGAAAGGGCTGCCTCTGATTTTAAGGTTGTGACCCCTGGTTTTAGTTTCTCCAACCAGGGGAAACAACCTCCCACTATCTACTCTATCATGCCCTTTGATGATCTTATAGGTTTCTATAAGATCGCCTCTAATTCTTCTATATTCTAGAGAATATAGGCCCAAATTGGTCAGCTTATCCTCGTAACTCATCCCCTTCATCCCTGGCACTAATCTAGTAAATCTACACTGTACCCCCTCCAAGGCAAGTACATCCTTCCTTAAATGAGGAGACCAAAACTGGATGCAGTATTCCAGGTGTGGTCTGACCAGGGTCCTATACAGTTGCAGCAAGACTTCCCTACTCTGATACTCTAATCCTTTCATAATGAATGCTAACATACTGTTCGCCTTCTTAATTGCTTGCTACATTTTCTCTGAAATACATTGATACTGTTTGCTTCAGCCTCATTTTTGCCAATGGGTACTACAGTCTCACCAACTTCCACATGAATAAATTCCTCCTTAAATCCCAATTAGATCTACAACTAGCAAATTTATAATATATTTATGACTCATTGTTTGGGCTAAGTAACAAGTAGAAATAGCCTATCAATATCCACCTTATTAAATCCTTTCATAATCTTAAACAATCTATCAGGTCCCCTATCAATTTTCTCAATGCTACATAGACAAGCTGCAACCTGTCCAATATTTCTTGAAGGTTGAATCCTGTAGTACTCCAAATGTAGTGCAAGATTTTTTAAAAAAAAATAACATACCTTCCTACTTTTATATTCTATTCCTCTGTACATAAAGCCAAGGACCATATCTGCCTTTTAATGACTTTGTCCACTTGTGCAGCTACTTTTAAGCTTTGTGAACTCTTTTTTCCTCTACCACTCTCATGGTCCTATCTAAGAGCTTCTTTATTCTTCATGAATCATTTCCATTTCCCTATAATTAAATTTCATCTGCCTCTCATCTACGCAATCTACAATCCTATTTATGTCTTCCTGCATCTTTTTGCAATCCTCTTTATTATTCATCACCCTCTCCCCCTGCCCAGTTTGCTGTAATCTGGAAAGTTTTACACTAAATTTTCTATGTCTGAACCCAAATAATTTATGTATGTGATAGTGGTCCCAGTATGGATTCCTGCGGAACACCATTTCCTACTCTGCCAGTCTGAGAAGCTACTATTTACTCCTATTCTTTGTTTCCTATTTTACAGACATCCCTCAATTTATTCTGCTATCTCTCCCTTAACTGTGCATGCCCAGATTGTCTAATAATAATCCTTGCATTTGCTATAGCGCTTTTCACGTCAGAAGGACGTCTCAAAGCACTTCACAGGATTTACTATGAGATGGACAGACTGTGTAATTATAGGCAAATGCAGCAGCCCAATTCTGCACAGCAATGTTCCACAGACATTAACGGGTAGCATGGTCCTATCTGGATAAGCAGCAGGAAAGCTTGCTGGACAGTGCTATCAATAGCAAGCTATGTGGTTTAACTGGTTAGACTCCAGCGGTGCCCCATCACACACTCGGGGATCCCCAAGCCTTGGTTCTTGCCAACCTGTGCCCAATACTTTCCAGAATTATAATAATATTCCTTGCATTTGATATAGCACCTTATCATATCTCAAAGTGCAGTATACAGAATATACTATGAAAGTGAATTTACTCTATATCTTGTGGGAGAAATGCGGTAGTCAATTCCACACAGCAGTGTCCCAGACAGTAGTGGATTGAGGGATCCAATTTGTTTTTGGATGGCTTTACTACTGCTGGAAAAGCGATCCGCTAATCAACTAACAACCTGGTTTCTGCTTACTGCTAGGTAAGATGAGGCATGTGGAGTAAAGAAACATGCCTAAGGTTTTGCCCTGCCTGGAAATTGAACCCAGGTCCTCTCGCTTGCGGGGTGAGTGCTCTCACCAATACGCTACAGGACTCCAATTAGGTAAGGAGGATGCGTCCCTCCAGGGATAGAGGCGCATTCCATTCCAACAATCTATATCTGAAATTTCCACGTGTAGGTGGGATGCATGGAAATATCAGTTTTGTTTGGATACTCTTAAGCGTGGCGATGGATTTCCACATAAAATAAAAATAAATGCAAGTTGTTTGTACTACCCAGGGACGCTTAATCTCGTGACGCTTAATATTAATTTCCCGACGTGAAAAGCGCTATATCAAATGCAAGGATTATTAGTATTATTATTATTAAAATCGAGGCCCGGAATGGAACATCCTCAAGTTAACAATTCAGCCAAACTGGGGATGGATGAGATGGATGGGTGTGTGTGTGTGTGCGCAGTTTTTTTTGTCGGCATAACATTAAATCACAAGACACAAGAGACACTTTGCCTTTATGTGAAAAAGGTGGCGGCTGAATGGAAGGAACTGGGCATGCGCGGAACTGTTGGCTGCGGTCCGCCTCTCTCTGGCGGTTCAGCACCGGGCACGGAACAGGCGGAATACAGGCGAGAGGGCAAAGCAGGCGTGGAAACTGGGATAATACACCGTGTGTGTGTGTGTATATATATATATATATATATTAAAAAAACACACACAGACGTTAACTGACGAATGGTCGCGGATGAAGCATGGCGGTCAATTTCGGAAAAGTCCAAATCGGGATTTACGTCGAAATCAAGCGCAGCGATGGTAAGTGAGAAAGAAAGCAGCAGTTGAGAAAGCCGGTGGGTGGGTGGGTGGGTGGCTGATTTTTTTTTAAAAAAGAAAAACACACACACGCACACACCTCGCCTCCTTTCGGGATCATTCATTGTTTTTTCGGAAGACGGCTCAACTCAGCAAAACGGGATGGATCGCTCGCTCGCTCGCTCGCTGGCGGCGGCGGCGGCTCTGGCCACTGCGGCTGGTGCTGGACGTGTCTGGAATACATCTGGTTTCAAGAAACAGGAGGAGGAGGCGGCGGGTGAAAGGCGAGAGAGAGAGAGAGAGAGAGGGAGAGAGAAAAAAAAGCGTTCCTTTTCGAGACCTGAGCGCGCTTGTGTGCATATATGTGCGTGTATTTTGTTTCAGTGGTTGTTTGGTTGTCTCGGAAACGGGGCAGGGCAGGGCTGGCTGGCGGTGGGTGGGTGGGTGGGTTGTTGCTGGTCGGTGTTTTGTTACCAGGCCGGTGGTTTCTTCCAAGTCTTGAGATTAACGCCCTGCCAAATAACGAGCCTCTCTGCGGACGTCACCGTAACAGCCGTTGGGCGCGCGGGCCGCCTGCGCGGGCGCGTGCGCGCGCAGCCGCGGCCCTACCCGACCCCCCCGCGCTTGCCTTGTCTGTTGCAGGCGCGCGTACGCGGGCTGCTCCGCAAGCGTGCGTACGTGCGCGTGCGCGCGCGCGCGCGGCCGCCCCCCTGCTCCCCCCCCCCCCTCCCCCCTCCCTAACGGAATTTCATTTTGAAAAAAAAAGACCTCGTTAGTTTATTCGAACTGGAGCGCGCGGAGCGGCCAACGCTCATGTCCCGACGCGTTCTTCTTCTTTTTTTTCGAAGCCCCCCCGCTCAAAAAAATAAAAGCCAACTCGTTCGGCTTCTGGGGTGTGGGGTTTTTTTTTTCGCGTTTGTTTTGTTTTTTGATGTCGTTTCGCGGTATGTTTTCCCCCCCACCACCACCACCCAACCCCTCCCCGCCCGCCTTTCCCCGATTATTTTTTTAATACAAAAATCAAACGCCGTTCGGCAAATTGAAATCGATCCGAAAGCAAAGTCCTTGACTGGGAGAGCGAACAGAGGAGACAGACGGACACCACCGCCACCACCTCTTTCCCGCCGCGCCTTAGGATGCGCACTGCCGCCGAGCTGCAGTTTGCACATGCGCACTGCGCTCCTTTTTTTTGACACTATTTGGCAGGACAAGGAAGGTTGGTGCTGATTCCCATTTGGGCGTGAGACTGACTGACTGTCAGACAGAAGCAGAAAGAGCGAAGCAAAGGGAAAGGGTTTGTGCTCAGATATGCAGAATACACACTGTCACATTCAGCTGATTTAATATTCCCCCTGTTGCCGCAGAGACCCCCCCCCCACAAATGGTACTCGATCTTGTTTAATGAAATTAATACTTCTCCGCACCCCCCTCACCAATATAAGAATGGTGGTGTGAAGCGTTAATGAAACGTTCAACCTTATAAACAACCTTTTCTATCGATTTAGAATATTTAGCACATGGTTAGTAGATTGCGGATATTTTTGCTTTGAGAGTAAGAGAAAGGTTTCAGAGCAAAATGGCAGATGAAGCATTTTAAAATGTTGCACATGACAAAATATTTTGCACTCAGAATATTCAATAAATGAAAGATGAGCAGATTGAGAGGCTTGATACTAGGAGAAAGTACAGACCGTAACATGACATTTTTGACAAAATCATTTTTGTAGTATTCCAAATTAAGCTTTTTATAAACATCAAATAATATGACATTTAGAATAATGTATTTCATGCATATTTTTAAATTATAATAGTTATGCTAGTAAATATTTCCTTAGCTGTGTCATGCTTGGCACATAAAGTGTTTTTAAAATGTGCACAGTTAGTTTGTGGGTATTTGCTGCAGCTGTTCTGTTGAAATAAACCAGTGTTAATGTGCCACAAGAGGCATCGGTTTGTAGGGTGGTTTTATTTTTTTAAGAGGGAAGAGAATAAATTGGGATATGCAAACCCCTTCATCTGGTTGGTGCACGGACACACAATGAGTCTGTGTTTCCTTTCAGAATGATGGTTGCGTGTGGGGAGTAAGTTTGCAAGAAAACATTAAAACTCAGGTCAGCGAACAAATGCATGTTTTCCAAAATCCATCTTAGATTTTATTTAGATTGGATTTTACTCTTTTCATTGTGATCACATTCGATTTTTACAGAGCAACACAGGGGAATGATCAACAAGGTCAGAAGCCATGGAAAAACAGGGGAGGAGAAAAAGAAATGTATTGGAAGTTGACAAATCTGTATAGGCATGCAAGGAGGTGATGCGCTCTGGCTATTTTTGCACAGAAATTAGTTTGACATGGAGACAGAAAGACTTTTGTCATGATGCCAAATTGGGAAGAGGTTGAAATCTGAGTATAACTGAGAACACGCAGATCAAGTGTAGGGGGGTGAAGATATAGATTAAAAGGCTGGTGTGATAAATGATGATATTTAATGTGAATGAATTCAAAATGACTCAAGATGAGGAAGGAAAAGGAGCAGTAGGAATATATTTTAAATGGTAATAACAAACAGGAAGAATGCATGAAAGTAAACTGGGTGCATGTGAGAAGCTTGCAGAAATCATTAGCTCAGTGTGTGGCATTTGTAAATAAAAGAAATGCAATTTTGGTTCAGAATCAGCCTTGCTTTCCCTTTTTTCCTTTATCTTGCTCTGGGGCTTTTTCTCTTTTCAAAACTCAAATTTTCTCTGTAACCAGTTGTTTCTGTCAGTAAATCCTTTATCCATATCAATTTTATGCAATAACAGCCTAAGTAAGCAAGTCAGGGTAGAAGTTCCAAGAAGTGATTGGACAGAATATTGGTCTACTTCTCTTTTTTCTCATCAATCTCTCTTCAGCTTTTACATTATGGACCATTAGATTCATCTTCATTGCTATTACTCTTTGGCCCACTTGTGTTCTTAGTTCCAATCTTTTCTTTCCCAAAGCCTTCATTTCATTTTCTCAAATGGCATTTCATTTTGCTCCAACAAATCATCTTTGGTGTACCCCAAGGCTTTATCCGTGATCCTTTATTTCATATATATATATATATTCCACTTGGTGACCGCATCTATGGCGGTATTTAAGATGATAAGGGGATTTGATAGGGTAGATACAGAGAAGCTATTTCCGCTGGTGGAGAATCCAAAACGAGAGGGCATAGTCTTAAAATTAGAACCGGACCATTTAAGAGTGAAATGAGGAATCATTTTTGGACAATTAAAATATGACTATGAACTCATCAAAAAGAGGGCACTGAATCAAGCTCAGAAGATGGTGAACATAGGTACCAGACTGCTCAGGGAGGTTGAAAATAATTTGCAAATACCTACCGCTCTGTTTACACATTTTCTTTTTAAGATCCTTTTTTTAATAATTGTCTTAAATATAGAAAGCCTGCTCTTTACTATTCGGTGAACTAGGAGGTTTAATTTGTATAATTTGAATTTGTACTTTTTATGGAAATGTGAGTTTCTGTTGGAAGAATCCTACTTCCTGTTGAAAAAAATCAATTCTTCACAAAGGAGATTATCAGAAGGATGAAACCAATGAGTCTTTAGAAAAGATTGAAGACATTCTTTATGATTCTTAAGATCCGTATTCCTTTATGTCCTGCTTTGGAAATTTTAAATCTTACTGGCAAATTGGGAACAAACAAAATACGGCTAAAGCAATATTGATATTTTCAATTCCAAGGCTTTACTGCCATGGGTTATGAGTGGGTTTTATTTTTAAGATTTACTTTAAGTATGAATAGGAAAAGAAAGTAAATTCTGCACATAATTGCTTCTAACCATCTCTCTTAAATACCTTTGTGTCTGTTCTGGAAGAGTTTGAGATAATATGTATATTTTTGTATAGTTCTGAGGTTTATTTATACTTTAAGGATGTGGATATTTTGTTTTTTAAATGAGGAAAAGAAAGTGGGACATTTTGACTGGATTGACCAAGATTTGTATCTTAACTACTACTACATAGCACTAAGTAACTAAGAGTTCAGAGTATTCAGAGTTCAAACCCTCCCTGGACCCTTCTCTGCTCCTTAACTACCGCTCCATCTCCAACCTCCCCTTCCTCTCCAAGGTCCTGGAACGAGTTGTTGCTTCTCAGCTTCGCTCCTTTCTCTGTGTCATTCCCTTCTTGAACCTCTCCAATCGTGTTTCTGTGCTGCCCTGTGCTGCCCTGGTCTAAGTGACAAATAATATTCTGTCCCATCTGCGACCAGGGCTCTCTCATTCTGCTTGACCTCTCTGCTGCTTTCGACACCTTCGGCCACTCTATCCTCATCCACCGCCTCTCCTCTCACCTCAACCTCCATGGCGCTGTCCTTGACTGGTTCAGATCATACCACTCACACCACCTGGAATTCATCTCCTCAAACGGCTTCTCTTCCAGCCCCCGCACCATCTTGTGTGGTGTTCCTCTTCAATATCTATATGCTCCTCCTTGGTGACATCATCCACAGACATGGGGTCAACTTCCACATGTATGCGGGTGACGCCCAACTCTACCTCTCTGCCTCCACCCTTGATTCCAGGACCACTGGGTTTTAGGGAAATGTTTTTCAAACCTTGAGCTACAGTGTAATTTTATTGGCGCTTCTCCATATGGTTCCATATGGGACGTCCTCCTGACGTGAAAGGCGCTTTATAAATGGAATCTTGTTGTTGTTGTTGTTGATGAGGTGTATGGAACGAAGGAGTTTTTTTTAAAAAAAAGATGTGAATAGGGACTCTGGATCATTCTAGATACTGTGTATCTATTATGGTCTATTGGACTTCCAGAGTTTTGTTTGAATTTGTAGAATGGTTACAGCATAGAAAGGATGGCTTGTGTGCCATTTTGCAATGTGCATTTTTTAAATCTATAATTCAAGTGTTAAGGGTTTTTCAATAAGCCACACTCTTTGTAAGCAATACCATTTCTAATAAGAGAAATTCCAAGTATGGACGGAAGCCCTTTAACTTGAATTGTGCTGATAGGTGATAAATATATGTAACAATTTCCAACTTGGCCCAAATCTTTAAACTAAAAGTCAAATTAATACTCAATTATTAAACTTGGTGTTCTTGACATTTGAGGGAACAAGTTACTTTTCAACAGTGTGAAAATTGTGTAAACAATTGCCTTTTTATTGGTTGTTAATTATATAAGAGAGGAGTGAAGGGAGTTTGTCCTGATGTTCTGGCCAACAATCCACCAGAAAATTGGTCATTCACTTTATGGCTATGTGTGGGACATTTCTATGTTTAAATTGGCTGCTTTGTTTGCTTACAAAATGTAGCCGCTGCATTTTACAGGAAATCCTATAAAACTCCTTTAGACAGCCTTCCAATGTGAAAGGTGCCATATCAAATGTAAGGATTATATTAAGAAAATTGAAAACTTTGTTAGAATCCCTGCGTAACATTGAAACGTGTTCGAACTTTACAAATCTTTCCACGTAACTAGAACCTGTATACCTGGTATAATTCTAGTAAATCTCTTCTATACCCACGTAATGGCTTGGATGTCATTTTGGCCTGTCTTTAACTGGATACATTACTCCCAAATGCAGCCTAACCAGTGTCTTATACAAATTAAACATTGCTCTTTTTTCCTTTTTCCTGTGCTGCACAAAATAGTCTTTCTTTTGTATTTATTTGTGAGTCTCAGATTTGTTTCTCAAGCTCTAACAATGCCAATCTGGAGTTGACTGCTAGCTTGGCTTCACTGGCTCCCTATCCCCAGTCGTAGTGATAACTTTCAAAGACTTTCAAGTAAAATAAAATAAAGTAAAATAAAAGTAAAGTAAAAGGTAAGGGTATTTTTACTTTCTGTGGAGAGGTGGCTTGCTTGTATGAATGAGTGTAACACATTGATATAAAGGGACCAAGCTGGTGCCCCCGGGCATTGTAATATGAAGTGTATTATTTAATTCTGCTTTGTCAAAGGTCTTTAATAATTGAAAGTAGGAATACCAGAATGACAAAAATATAAGACACATACAGGTAGTTAATGTGCATTAATGTGCATTCCAGCACCTTGGAACGTCCTCCTGACGTGAAAGGCGCTACACAAATGTAATTTTGTATTGTATTATGTTAAATTTACATTTCACTAAATATTTGTCTTTGTGTATTTGGACATTTTCAATACCAAATGGAGAAAGAAAATTCATTTTACTCAGCAATTCATATTAACTGCCTCTTAGGTGGATATTAAAGATGTCATGACATTACTGTGTTCCAAAAGAGACAAGATTTTTTTCGTATTTTTCGTATTGCTCATCATCCTCCAGATTAATTGGTCTTTTACCTCATGATTGTTATGGGACCTTGCCGGCACAAATGCTTTATATTTGTCTACACGAAATAGCCTTATGCTTGCCAGTAATTACTTTTTAGAATGCATTGAGATGTTTTGACATTTCAAGATGCTATAAAATTGCAAGTTCTTTCATTAATTACTGTTATTACTATTTTTTGATATCTGGTATAATACTGAGTTTTGTTATGAATACATATACAGACAGTGTTGTATCTGAGCTTGCTACAGTTATGCTGATTGTTTGAAAATGCCCTTCCTACTTTGTCTCCTTTCTGCAGATTAAACAGTAGTCATTGCAGGAAAAAAAAGATTTGGCAATATATTTAGCTTTGCAGTGCCTGTATTAATCTAGTATAGTATTCATTATAAACTACAATGGGTTTGTGAGATGCCTGTATGGCGTTTCTGAAGGGGCATATTATTTCATATGTCAGTTGATATAGGGAAAAGAGGATGCATGGCTAGGACCAATTGCATTATTTGTTTTAGAACAGCAGCATGCTTTTTCTATGTGTGACTTTCCTCAAGAAAAACATATAATTAACTACTGGAAAGCAGGAATTCGTATTGTTCAATCCAATGTGCCATGAAAGGACGAAAAGATAGGAAAAATTGTTTGCATGCCTGATCAGAAAATATATAGTCAACCTGGAAAAGGATGTATTGCTGTGGGTACAGAGTAAGTATCCTACAGGAAAAGGGGTTCAGCAGAGGAGAACTGGCAGATGTTTAATATTGGTGTATGCGAGGTCATGAGAAATAAGGATTGGGTCTATATAATAATAATAATCCTTGCATTGGTATAGCAGCTATATTGTTGACTTGTCAATGAATTTTACAGGTAATTGTTGTCAAATACAGTAATTGTGTATTTGTAGGCAGGTGCTGCAGCCAATATTCTCACAGTGATGAGCAATCATGGGAGTGAATAGCCTTTTAGAGGATTGTTTGCCAGGACATCAAGAGAAACTCCCTTCTCATTTTGAGATCTGCCATGGAATCTTTAATAATATCTCTAACAATGTAGAGCTTCTCCAGAACTTGGGTGTCCTCTTGACTGTGAGCTCAAAATCTTAACATGAAGCTTGAATCCACAACCTTCTGATCCAGAAGCAAGAGTGCTATTAGCTTAGCTGAGTTGACACAATGAGCTGTCTGCCTGTGTAGGGTGGACATTCAACACCCCAAGGCTCTATTTAAAAGAGAATGGAGTTTCTTCTCACAGTGACTTGGACAACAGATCCCCAAATAAAATTGGTTACTCACAACATAGCTGTTTGTGGGATATTGCTGTGCGCAAATTGGTTGCTGTTTCACCTACAGATACAGTCATTACACTTCACAGTAAAATCCTGAACCTAGGTGCAGATAATTCAGAACTCTGCAGCCCATGTCCTCTCCCGCACCAAACTCCGTGACCCCATCTCCCCCACTCTCGCCCGACTCCATTGGCTCCCTATCCTTCAGAGGATCCAGTTCAAGATCCTGGTCCTCACCTACAAAGCCCTCAATGGTCTCACCCCACTCTACCTCTGCGACCTCCTAACCCCCTACCAACCCGCTCGCTCCCTCCGCTCAGCCGGCTCTGGCCTGCTCCACATCCCCCGACCCACCCGCCCCACCATTGGCGAGAGAGCCTTCAGCCACTCTGCCCCCAACCTCTGGAACTCCACCCCCCAATTGCTCCGCCTCGCCCTTTGCTTAGCTTCCTTCAAGTCCCGAATCAAGACCCTCCTCTTCGACCATGCCACTGGCCACCCCCCCTTCCCCTCCCCTCCCTTCTCCCCCCTGACCCCAGCTCGGGTCTGAAATGCTGTACACTGTCCAGCGCCTTGGGATGTCTTCCTTATGTGAAAGGCACTATACAAATGTAATCTTGTTGTTGTCTTGTTCGATCCTCAACTGTCTATTCTTCCCCACATCCAAGCCATGACCCGCTCTGCCTTCCCTCACCCCTCAATGTAATTGTGTTGTTGTTGTTGTATCAAAGTACTATTAAAATGCCACAATTATTATAAACTGGTTGTTGTATGCCTAAAGGACATAAACCAGAAGAAGGATCTGAAGGTACTCGTTGATATTTTGCAGCCTTCAGCCCATGGCAAGAAAGGCAAACAAGATTTTAGGGTGCAGAGGTAGATTTATAAGAGCATATGGTTCGTAATAATGGGTTGTAAAATGTCTTGGTAAGGTCTATTTGGATTATTATGTACAGTTCTAGTCTTTCATTTGCATTTTTGACAGACTCGGCTTTTTAAATTTCCTCGTTGCTGGTCTCCCCAGCTTCGTCATCCACAGCTTACTAAAAATTCCACCCCCTGCATCTTGATCTGAAGGAGACTTTGCAGGCCCATCACCCTGTCTTCACCAAACGCGGGCCTCCAAGATTTACTCTGACATCCCCACCTACATATCACTTCACACCCTCGCTCCCTCCAACCTCTGGGATTTCGATTCTCACTCTACCACTCTACTCCGGAAACTTGGGCCCACTGTGAGGTGGGGTGATCGTTGTCAAGATGTAGTAGACTGGTGCAACATGCTTGATGGGCTGAATGGCCAGCTTACACCACTTATTTGTAGTCTGTGGATTTGTGATTGAAGCAGATAGAAATAGTTATATCCTTGTGATATCCTTGTGATGCTGAATGAAGACCTTTGGAAAACAATTGTAGTCTATTGTAAATGTTTCCTAACTTAATATTCAAAGCAGGGCAGCAATGAGATGTGAAAGCATAACTCTGGTTCAATGAAAAGTATGGTTTGCATGATTTGGGTAAGAGTTTCTTGCTAGTGTAGCTTTTAGGTCTCATTATTTTGAAATCGCCTCCATATAGATTTTAATGTCTTTTTCTCTTCCCAGGACGAATACATCAAGCTATGGTTACATCATTAAATGAAGACAATGAAAGTGTTACTGTTGAATGGATTGAAAATGGAGATACAAAAGGGAAAGAGGTAAATTTTCTGCAGAATTAATGAATGCTTTCAATATGCCACTGTAATATTTGAATGGCTACTGTTTTTTGATGTTCAAAATTTGCTCTAAATGTGACTGAGGACCTTTTAAAGCAATCACTGGAAGATAGTTACCCTCTTTGGGGGTTTCTTCTATAACAATTAATTATGAGAAAATCATTAATCTTTCAACTATGTGGGGAAAATAACTGAAATATATTTATTATTTTGGTTTAGTTTTAAGTTCTTCTCTGTTCTGTTCCAGCTGCAATATCCATCCATCTGTGATAACTGACATTATCATTTAAGAACTTTTAAAATACCGTTCCAGCCCAGCTACTTGGGTGGAATTTCAACAATTTAACAAATAATGTATTTAAGTGATATCTGAAGTCCAAAAGGTTTAATGCAAAATTTAAGACTTATTTTTATGTAATCTATTGAAATATTATTGGTGTACATAATCTTATAAGGCTTCTACCATACTTATTTAGGATATTATTTTTTAGCAAAATGCTTTTGTTAACTTTGCTTTTTGTCTTTTTTTGCACATGAAACAGCTATAGTTATCCACAGCTCTGAGTGGCACTTTTAAATATCTGCAGATAAATATAGTTTTTTGAGAGAGGAAGAAAGTTAAGTTGACCCTTTTATATATTGGTTTTTTATAAATATGAATTAATTGCTAGAGATTAGATGAGTAATGGAGATAATAGAGGTGTTGTATAGTAAACACCTGATAACGTGTCATTCCCAAGGGAAAAGGGCTCAGCGACCACTTATCCGGAGTGAGTATTTAGGTATAGATCCACCAGGGCCACAAGGGGTGCTGTGAATGTGTATCGGAGTAATTTTGTAGAACATTATTCTACAAAATAGTGGGTGGAATCCATGATTATGTAGATTTTGCATGGTTATGGAAGGAGTAGACTTGATGGTCCGAAAGGCCTTGTCACATTTTTCTTTTCCTAAATCGGGATTGTTAGAGCTGACTGATTGAATCCATTAACCGTTATATTTTGGAGGTCTGCAAAGGCTGAACTAGTTCATCATGTATTTGTTAGTGTTTATTTGTTAGTTCAGGTCCACAGTTTTAGCTCCAAGGCTGTCCGAAGCGTCACATAAACATGACCTTATTTTACATTTTTTTAAAGATATTTAAGATAACACCACATGATTCAGTCATAAGCACAAACATGAGGTTGCAACAATTAAATCCTTTATTTGATCTCTTCATCACAAACATTACTTAATAGGGATAAATATTCAACTGAATGGTCATATGTCCAAAGTGTATAAAAGGAGATATTTGTGTGCGTCAGATGTGATTTTAAAACTGCTAGATCCTGGGATCAGCCATTTTACACTGAATATAGTAAATTTCCATTCCAGTAACAGACGTGTGTTGCCCAATACCCACCATTTCCATTTTGACATAACTGGAGCAAACCTTCTTAGGCCTCGAAAGCTACTAATTTGGAATTATCAAGTGCCTTGGGACGTCCTCCCGATGTGAAAGGCACTATACAAATATAATTTTGTTGTTGTTGTATCTGTCCCTTTCGTGTGTGTTGTCTAGGGGCTATTACTTCCCCTATTGTTGTGAACTGCCATTAATTAAAGTCTGACTGTTTTCTTCAGCCTTTATTTTGCTGTTGCTGATTCCTCAGGCGGTTACATTTTGCTAAGAGTTTCATGCTTCCTGAGAGAATACACCTGAACAAATGTGAAATGGAATTTTGTGTCTGGAGCAATTTTGAAATGAGTATGGAGGTGAAAGTTATGTACGAGCCAGTATCAAATCCTGTATTCAGCTGGCATTACCCCATTCCACTGCAAAGGAGACTGCTGGAACATTTGCTCAATGGGCATGTCTGAGCTGTCGACAGGAAGATTGTGGCAATGCTCTCACGCATTTCATGTTGAGCTGTGTTGTCCATTAGGAATCTCGCAGGAAGTTTCTGGTACCTGCCATCCACCTAGTGAGGGCTAAACATGATTGTCAAATGCGATTCGCCATTCGACTAACAACTGGGTTCCTTCTTCCTGTTAGGTAAACAGGCATGTGGAGTAAGGAAACTTGGCCAACATTTCGCTCTTCCTGGGAATCAAACCAGGGTCCTCTCGATTGCGAGACAAGTGCTCTACCCACTAAGCTACATGGCCTCCACTATATATGCAGGCAAACTTGTACAAGTCGTACAAAATCTGATTAAATCAATAATCTACACAGCGCGTGCATAATTCAATGCAACCAGTAAGTTTACATGTGGTGACTGGTCAACATTACGTTTCCTGTGAATCAATGCATCTGAGGTGTTAAGAGTTAGGAGGTGATAAATAATAATATTATAATAATCCTTGCATTTGATATAGCGCTTTTCACGTCTTCTAGACGTCTCAAAGCGCTTCACAGAATATACTGAGATTGAATATAGAATATATATAGAACATAGTCGATTGGCGGATTGCTTTTCCGGGGATATTAATCCCTCCAAAAATAACAATAATTTGGTCACTCAATTCACGACATTTGTGGGACACTGCTGTGCACAATTGGCTGCTGTGTTTCGCCCACAAATATACAGTCAATTCACTTTACGTATATTCTGTGAAGCGCTTTGAGACGTCTAGAAGACGAGAAAAGCATTATACCGAATGCAAGGATTATTATTATTACTGTAAAGCGAATTGACTATATTTGTAGCCGAAACGCGGCGGCCAATTGCACACAACAGTGTCCCACAAACAGTCGTTGATTGAGTGACCAAATTATTATAATTTTTTTAGGTATTATCCCCGACTAACAACCGGATTCCTACTTACTGCTAGGTAAACAAAGGTGTGTGGAGTAAGGGAAACTTGCCCAACATTTCACCGTGCCCGGAATAGAACCTAGGTCTCTCGCTTGCGAGGCGAGTGCAAAGAAATCAAAGTGGTTTTGATAGGAAACTGAATGCGACTTGGTGCGTGTATCATTTAGGAGATTATATGATTTATGGAGATAAGAGTATGAGAGTTTTACTGTATTTTCAAGAAGCTCCTCAGAGCCAGCAAGTGTATCTGGTCCATCAACCCATCCACATGACTGCTGCTTCTTCCTTATCCATTAGTCCAGGCACCAGAAAGAGGGAGATTCAACATTTGCAGAAATCTCTTGTCAGACCACTGTTGCTCATTATATGGGAATGGTAGTCATAAGTGAAATATCATTATTGTACTTCTCCACAATGCCCTTGACCATCTCTTAATATCATGTATATAGAGGCAATTGAACTCAATATGGTTACTGTCATTCAACAGCCTCTTTTGCAAATCCAGCATGACTAAAGCACCAACCCTGTCCTTATTTTATATATTTTGGGAAAAGTAATAAAATACATATAATAGAACTCAAAACACTGATGACTGAATTATAGTTTTCAAAAGCTATGAGTTCAGACTTCATGTAAATTTTAGAAGCTAATGCATGTGCATGTTTTTCCCTAATGAACAGATTGACCTTGAGAGCATATTTGCACTTAATCCAGACCTCGCACCAGAAGAAGAAATTGAGCAGAGCCCAGAAACCCCTCCACCTCCAACACCTTCAATCAAAACAAACAAGATAGCTAAGGTTTGTTAACTTGTTATCCATTTTTATGTCTTGTAAGTTGCTTTACAAGTAGGTTGCTTATGCTTTTTTAAAAAATATAACGGAGACTGTCTGTCGATTTACACTGTTGGCCTGTGCAAAATACCTCTTAATGTGCTCCATTTAAGATTGAGTTGATCATTGTTTCTTTCTGATGTCTTCCACATATCTCAGGCATCAAATCCCCAAGGTTGCTATGTTGTTAGAGAGAGTTGCTTCTCATTGCTTCAAAGTGGTGACCTCAGTTCTCCTGTTTTTTTTTGCTTTTAGTCGTGAATATGTAGTCTTTATTTTACATGGAACAGTGTAGTCTTAGTGCTGCTTAATCATTCTAAATGCTCCAAGGCATTTGTTGTCACTCACATGCACAAACGATTACTGCACTTTTTCCATCAGTGTGTGCTAGATCTGTTGCTTTCTCTTGATATGCAAGGATTGTCTTGGCCATTAGGCAAGTACCTGTCAACATCACTAGCTGAGGCCGTACTAATACTTGAACCAAAGAGCTTTGTTTACACGGCCGCCAGCTTTTCCAGTTGTTCCAGTTCATGTGCAAAGTAAAGGATGTTTTTATATAAAAGAGATGAGGTTCTATTGATATTCTAACTGAAAAATATTACAGAAATTGAACATATAGATAAAAAAATTGCATTTAAAAATATAAAGTGCAGATATAGTAATAGATAATATTGTACGTACTAAGTGAACTGAGTGAAATTTATAGCAATCTAACTGCACAGGTTAATAAAGTTATGTTTCAAACGTTCTCTACAGTTGTTCAGGAAGATGTGGTTACCATTGGTTACGTGGCTACTTTGTTGCAGCAGTATATGCTATTAATGCCCATGAGGACGAGTGGAAAGAGGACATATTGTGGGGTCATACTTGACCTGAAGCTGAGGTCATGTACAATAATATCTCAATGGTTGCACATCAACAGTTACAGTTTTGAGATTGTAAATAGGTTGGAGAAAGATTATTTATTCATTCGTAATGAGGCAAACTTTTATTTTACTTTTGCTTTTTATATTCTAAGCGATCTGTTGTCAAAAGTGTGATTTTGCTGGAGTGCAAAATTGTGACTTTGCTTGCATTTTTGTCTTTAAAAGAATCGCCGAACTGTGGTTCCCAAGAATGAAACTCCTGCCAAAGACAACAGAGGTAATTTTGAGGTGGAGTGATAGATGCATTTTCATTTGTTTTAAAAAGTGTCATATTGGCTTTCTGTGAAAATGCCACTTTTATTGATATTTGACAGTTTCTCTTTGGATTGCCCGGGTGTAGCTTTAAGACAAATTACTATCTGGACTGGTTATAGATATTCAACTACTACAAGAATTATGATAAATTTCTACATCCTTTTATTCTATCAACTCATTTTTATATTAAACACTGAAGATTATCAAGTCTAATAATGTCAGGGAGCTAGTGTTAATGCTGAAGTACCATCAGGTTAATGATTGTCCGTTTACTGATGGCACTTAAAAAAATATTGTTCAAGCATTTGTTTAGTGGAAAGTTGATAACGTTTTGGTTTAAAATTGAGAAGATTCGTTCAGGTGCCTCTGTTATCTTCATCTTCTTCCCCTCCACCTTCACTCTCTGCATCTTTGTAGTCTTTTATCTCCTCCCTTATCTCCTGCATAAATCCCACCACCTGCTTCTTTGAGCTCATGCCTCCGCTTGTTCAGCTTCCTCTCCGTGCTCTACTCCAAATCAATGTTATCAACCTCTTCCTCTCCACTGACACAACACTTCCCCCTTTCCTAACACCATTATCATCACCATCTTCAATAAACTCTCACTAGATTCCTCTATGCTCTCCTGATACTGACCCATTTCTAACTTGCTGTTCCTCTCCAAGGTGCTGGAACGAGCAGATACTTGCCTACTTCTCGTTCCTCCCTTCCCCCACTCTCCCCCACCTGCTTAGCTGTTAGTAGGTGAGCTTTTGAGCAGAGTCTCTCTGCCTTGCTTCTTCCTTCCCCACCTTCAAAACCTGCTTCAAGATCCTCTCACTCGTTTTCAAATCCCTTCATGCCCTCGCACCTCCCTACCTATCTGATTTACTTACCCCCCCCACATTCCACCGCCCACTGCCTCCGCTCGGCCGGTTCCAGTCTCCTGTTTGTCCCTCGCCCCCTCCTCTCCACCATCTGTGGCTGTGCTTTCAGCTAATATGCCCTGAAGCTTTGGAACTCCCTCCCTCAATCCCTCCACTTTACCTGTTTCCTCCTCCCCACTTTCAAATCTTGCCTAAAGACCTTCCTTTTTCATCAAGCTTATGGTCACCTCCCTCTCCCCCTTGCTCGGGGTCAGACTCCACCACTGTCAACCTATCCCATGTGAAGGGAGCTGTATAAATGCAAGTGCGGAAGTCGCTGGGAACACTCAGCAGGTCAGGCAAAATCTATGGAGAAAGGAAAGTGACTCAACGTTTCGGATCCACTACCCTTCGATGCGACCTGCTGTGTGTTTCCAGCGACTCCTGTTCTTGTTTTCAGATTTACAGCATCTGCAGTATTTTGCGTTTTGTATATAAATGCAAGTTGTTGTTGTTTGTAACAAACTCACAGATATTGTTCTATTATCCATATATTAAGCTCAATTTTTTCAACTATTGTGCACAAAATTATAGTATCTCAAAATTCTAGTGAAAGTATGGTGGCTAAGTTTGAATAACTAAATATGTGTATTTGGACTGAATTAAATGATATAGAACATATCCTAGTTGATTTGGGAATGGTCTTGGGAATGTTTAGTTTCCAAATGAATATGAGTTACTTGGTATCCTGGTAATGGCAACTGCATCTCTTCTAGGAACGTATATAGTCATTGTTGTAAATTTTGTTCATCTTTCTCTACGTCTTTTACTGATCTGACAAATCCAAAACATAAACCAGAAAGCAAATTCTGTTTTGTGGAGAATGTGTGGCTTATTATGTCTCGACCTTTTCATGATTTTAATTCTGTTTTCTTTCTCCAGTTGCATCTACACGATCAAGACCCAGTCAACTTCCAGAGCACTCTTCTGCCGCTCATCAGAATGGTAGCACTTCAGACATCTCTCCAGCTCAATCTGGAAAAAAGGATTTTGCGCCACCAAGTAAGGACAATGGTATAACCAAAAAACTATTCTTTACGTTTGATAATACTCTATATAAATAGTAGTAACTGAGTGATGTCAGAGCATATGACTAAAAATCAAAAGTGCTTGTTTTATAATATAGCTATCAGTCCATTTGCAATAAATAGAACAAACAATGGCAAGCATTTATGCACTGTATATGTTTTGCAAATGTCAAATCTGAATCTAATTCTAGGCTACTTCCCACATGGGTTCTCCATCTCACCCACCATTCTTGGATACACTAAGTAGGAGCACACAGTAGGAAAAGAAATTTGAGACACCCACATTTTGCTCTTCTATCCCTCACATTTTGCTCTTGTATCTCTCACTTGTACCAGATTGCACAGCAATTGTCATTTGTGGGTAATTTATAGAACGTGAAAATCATCAGGGTCTCACAGTTGTGCCCAGTGTCCCCACATTTGCACTTTTCAGCAGGAATTTCTGGGTGCCTGGCAGCATGCTGTTTTTTTTTTACGTTGTTCCTTAGTCCAGTGTGTTTGGATCAATTGGAGCATTCATATTGCTGCCTAAGCTAAGAGCAGTTAATTCTGCACAGTCCGGCAATTCAGCTTGGTCTCTATGGTTGAATTATATATTAGACATAGGAACTCAATCCTGTTTGAAAACAAAAACAGAAGTTGCTGGGAACACTCAGCAGGTCAGGCAACATCTATGGAGAAAGGAAAGTGAGTCAACGTTTCAGATCCACGACCCTTCGTCAGAACGCAGAACCTGTTTGAATCCTCCTTGAGCGAGAAAACTGGCTCCAAGGTGACATTTTGGGAACAGAATGTTGGAATTGAGCCAGCCCTCCGGGGGACTTGATAGTCCAGTTCCTGAGCCAGGTAGGTCCGTAGTATTCCAGGGCAGTGTTGATTGTTCAGCCAGCCTGGCTCATTGGCAGAACTTAGAAAGGCAGACCAGTCCCTGGGGGAAGGCAATCCTCCCACTCAACTTCTATTAATCCTGCAAGCCAAAGCCCTAATGAGTAGGATGGTCCTAGCTGGTTAAGCAGCGGAAAATCTTGCCAGACAGTGATATCAATGGCAAGCTATGTGGTTTTAGCTGCTTAGACTTCTGCAGTACTCAAACTTACACTATGAAGTCCCCAAGCTTTGGCTCTTGCCAAATCTGTGCCTAATACTTTCCATAATTAGGTAAGCAGGATGTGTCCCTCCAGGGAGAGAGTGTGCATTCCATTCAAAAAATCTAACTCTGGAACTATCAGTCCATTTGAACTGGACCAGAAGAGGACCAGGGTTCGATTCCCTGCAGGGCGAAAACTTCGACAAGGTTCCTTATTCCACACATGCACCTCTGTTTACCGAGCAGTAAGTAGGAACCTGCTTCTCAGTCGATTGGTGGATCGCTTTCAGGGGTAATCCTCCAAAAAAATAATAATTGGGTCACTCAATCCACGACCATTTGTGGGACACTGTGGGTGCAATTGGCTGCCGTGTTTTGCCCACAAAATACACAGTCACTACATTTTACAGTATATGCTGTGAAGTACTTTGAAATGTCTCAAAGATGTGAAGGCGCTATATCAAATACAAGGATTATTTATTATATAAATCATGAGCAATCATTTTGTTTAATTTTTGGGGGCAGCCAGGTGCCTGACACAATTGGCTGACCAAACCCCATCACCATGCTTAAGAGTATCCAAATCAGAGCATTTCACATATGTATGCCACCAACGCATGGACATTTCCCCCTCTGGATTAGAATATGCACTCTCTCTTGGGATGTGCCCTACTTAGCTAAGACTATTACGTAAAACTGAACAGTTTTGTGTTGAGAGCGCTCTACTAATCTTTGCAGTGAATGTCCAGCTAGGACTTCATCATCCGTCTATGGCTTGCAATCCAAAGATGCTGTTTTCCACCATCCATCACCTCCTCTGTGCACCCCCTCAAGCCCTCTATCTTCACGTCAAACACCAAGCGCTTGTCAAAGTCACAAACAACATTCTCTCTATCTGTGACCAGGGCTCCCTCTGCCTCCTTGTCTTTCTGGATCTCTGCCGCATTTGACACAGTCGACCATGCGATCCTCCTCCACCGCCTCCTCCCTCATCTACCTTAGTGGGACCGCACTCGTGTATTTCGAGTCCTATTTAACCAACCACCTCCATTCCATCTCAGCAAATGGTTTCTCCTCGCGCTCCCGCCCAGTCACCTGCGGGGTACCCCACGACTTCATCATTGGCCCTTTTTCTTTATCTAAATACTCCCTCTGGGCGATGTCATCCGCAGACATGGGGTAAACTTCCACATGTTTGCGGATAACACACAAATCTACTTTGCCCTCTCCAGTGTCAATTCCAGGTCCACCGATGTTCTATCAGCTTGTCTGGCAGACATCAAGGTCTGGATGAGTGTAAATGTCCTGCAGCTGAATATGCACAAGACGGAAGCTATACTCCTTGGCTCCCGTCAACGTCTTCACTCTTGTGGATCTAAACTCCTCAACCTCCCTGGGCTCTCCCTCACTCACCGAACCAGTGCACAACCTAGGCATCCGGTTCGACCCCCAGCTATCCTTCCTCCCCCTCATCCGGTCACTGACCAGGAGCGCCCTCTTCTACCTCCACCACATTGCCCGCCTCCAACCATACCTTAACCCAAATGCAGCCAAAACCCTCGTGCATGCATTTGTCACCTCCTGCTTGGATTGTTCCAACACACTCCTCGCCGGTCTCCCAAGCTCCACCATTCACAAGATTCAGCTCATTCAAAATTCTGCCGCCTGCATGCTGACCCGGACCAAACTCCATACTCACATCTCACCAGTTCTGGCCAGGCTCCACTGGCTCCCCATCACCGAACGGATCAACTTCAAAATCCTCACTCTTGTGTTCAAATCCATTCACTTCCTGGCATCTCCCTATCTCTCCGACCTCCTCACTCTCCAATTCACTACCCAGCGCCTCCGCTCGACTGGCACCGGCCTCCTGCTCGTCTCTTGCACCCTTTGCCCCACCATCGGAGGTCGTACTTTCAGCCACTACGCCCTAAAATTTTGGAACACTCCCTCAGTCCCTCTGCCTTGCCCCCCTCCCCTCTTTCAAGTCCTGCCTGAAAACTTTTCTCTTCGACCATACTTACGGCCACCTCCCCCCGGCTTGGAGTCAGGCTCCGCCACTGTTAAGCACTTTGAGACGCTACCCTGGGTGGAGGGGCAATATAAGTGCGAGTTGTTGTTGTTGCAAAGTTAACAGGGGGCGAATAGGAAGAATCCCTGCTCCCAGTGAATAGTCTGGCTCTACAAATCCTGCTGACAAGCCAGGTTGATTGGTCTATCATTAGCAGTGCCCTGTAGTAGTGCAGAACTGCCTGGCTCAGGAGCCAGACAACTGGGACAGCCAGAGGGTTGACTCGATTCTGACATTTAAGTTTTTTTTTCATGAGCTATGAACAGTATTTTATATTTGGATGCATGCATATGCCATCTGCCTATCTATTTCCATTGCATTGAAAAGTCAAGATTTTAATTTTAGGATGACTTAATAAATCATAGTGATTTGAATAATAGTAATGATTTTAGAGAGAATTAAGTGATCAGATTAGTTTGGCTCTTTGAAGCAGTTTTATGTACTGTTCATAAATTATTTTTCAGCCCGCCGAAAATCTAATTGTGTGAAAGAAGTTGAAAAACTACAAGAAAAACGTGAAAAACGAAGATTGCAACAGCAAGAAATGAGAGAAAAAAGAGCTCAGGTCTGCCATATTCATTGGTCAAGATATTTTAATAACTTCTTTCTCCCTGTCACAATCGTCACATGCATGTAGGTCTTGGTGTCGTTTGCGTGTACGTGTTTTTGTTTTCTTGTATTAAACTTAATCGACCATCAATAATATGCTGAGAAATTGATTGGTGATCTGTTCCCAGATCTTCGTAAAATTACCAATGTTCCTTTCTATTCTGCTGTTAAAGAATGTGTACATGCAGCGGATATCAATTTTTCTTTCATTCCTTCCCATCAGCAAAGTTCTTTATCTCTTTACCTACTGGTAGCACTCTTGCCTGTGAATCAGAAGACTGTGGGTTCAAATCCCATGCCAGGACTTTGGGCTCATAGTCTATGTTGACACTTCAATGCAGTGCTGAGAGAGCACGGCATGTTAGAGATGTCATCCTTTGGATAAGACTTTAAACCAAGGTCTTGTCTGCCTGTTTGGGTGAATGTTAAGGATCTAATTGAAAAGAAAAAGGAGCTTTTCCTTGGTCCTGGCCAATAATCCCTCAGAGAAAAAAAATTGTTCACTTCATAGAATTATGCAGTACAGAAGGAGGCCATTTGACCCATCGTCTCTGTGCTGACTCTTTGAAAAGAACTGTCCAATTCAATCCCACTCCCCCGCTCTCTCCCCATAGCCCTTCAATGTAAACTTGTCCTCCCCAAATAATTATCAAGCCACTTCTTGGCTGTTTGTGTGATATTGCTGTGCACAAATTATTTGTGGCATTCACTTTACTTTATAAAAACTCTGAATTGCTTTGAGACATTTTAACACAATAAAAATATCAAATGCAAGGATGATTTTTATTATCGTCTACTGGTGATCAGCTCCACTTCTGGCTTTGGTTGAGTTTGGAAACATGTTGCACGTGAAAGTTGGAGCTTGAAATCCAAAGATTGTTAATTCATTTGTACCACTTAGGTGCTAGATTTATGTACACCTAGTTTAATCCCTTTAGTATATTAATCTTTGTAGTGTCTAATGTTAGCAGATTTAAAGTAGGAAAATAACCCTATAAATCTTCTGAACTTTGTCCATATATTACAACATTTGCCGGAAGCAAATATTGGCTATTATCTCCCAAGTCCTATACTGTCTTTGAAAGTATTAATTATTGTGCAGTTGATGTTTTTTAAAAAAAAACATCACACTCTTGGAATGAACTAAATTACTTTTCCTCTAGTCATATTTATCCATTTCATACTCTTAGCATGTAAATAGTCTGTAGAAACCTATGTTGTTTTATGTATAGTGTATAGACTTTAGTTTTGAAATAGCATTAATATAAATGTTTTTGATCTTTATTTGATCTCCAAGTTATAACGGTGAAAGTCCTGGAAAACCAGAATTAGTTATATAAATAATTGTGTCCTTACTTGTATTCTGCATGACTGTTTCATTAACCCTTGCAAATGTAATGTCTCAGGATGTAGATTCTACAAATCCAAACTGGGAAATCATGTGTATGATAAAAGATTTTAGAGCAAGTCTTGACTACAGACCTCTTACGGCTGCTGATCCAGTAAGTTACAATTTTAAGCAACGTAGGTTTGTTCTTGTGTTTTATTAGTGTGGGCATAAATATTCTTTGAGAATAAATGTCAACTTGGCTCATTTAGCACTGTTAAATCTTAAATGTTAAATGTTAGCACCGGCAAATCTGGCTGGACCTCCTCAAAATCTACCGCTCCACTCTAGCCTCGGCCAAGTTGTCCTTCTACTCCAGGATAATCCTGGAGGCGAAGAACAACCCCAGGCTTTTGTTTTCCACCACATCCCGACTCCTCCGTCCCCCCCGCAGCCCCGCGCAGGTCATCTCCTCCAACCTTCACTGCGAGGAGATGCTGGATTTCCTTGAATCCAAAATCAAGGGAATCCGCTCCATGGTCACTGCCCCTCCAACTTCCACCCACCCCCCACCCCTTCCCTCCCACACTCCGACTCCTACCCATTCTCCCCTACACACCTCCGAACGCGTTTCCCCACCCTCTGTCACTGAACTCATCCTGTCCTTGAAACCCACCACTTACTCCCTGGACCCCATCCCCACTCCACTCTTTATCTCCCAGCTCCACCTCCTGGCCCCACCTCACAGACATTATTAACCTGTCCCTCTCCTCTGGCTCTGTTCCCATTCCACTCAAAACTGCCGCCATCATTCCCACATTGAAAAAACCCTCCCTTGATGCGTCGCAGCTATCAAGCTACCGGCCCATCTCCAACCTCCCCTTCCTATCCAAGATTCTCGAAAGAGTCGTTGCCTCCCAGCTGCGCTCTTTCATCTCCACCCACTCACTTTTTGAACCCCTCCAGTCGGGTTTCCGTGCTGCCCATAGCACGGAAACTGCCCTGGTCAAGGTCACCAATGACATCTTGACCATCTGCGACCAGGGCTCCCTCTGCCTCCTCGACCTATCGGCCGCATTCGATATGGTCGACCACTCTATCCTTCTCCTCCCACCTCAACCTTCAAGGCCCTGTCCTTGAGTGGTTTAGGTCCTCCCTCTCCCACCGTCTTTATTTTGTTTCCAGGAACGGCTTTTCCTCCGGCCCCCGCACTGTCTCGTACGGTGTCACTCAGGGCTCTGTCCTCGATCCCCTCCACTTCACCCTCTACATGCTCCCCCTTGGTGACATCATCCGCAGACATGGGGTTAACTTCCACATGTATGCGGATGACACCCAACTCTACCTTTCCTCCTCTACCCTCAACTCCACGACCACCGATGTCCTGACAGCTGCCTGTCCGACATCGAGTCCTGGACGAGAGATAACTTTCTCCAGCTCAATGTGCGTAAAACTGAGGCCCTCCTGATTGGCTCGCGTCAGCGCCTCCGCATCTCAGGCGCTGACAGCATCATCATCCAAGGCTGCACACTCCACCTTTCAAAGCCTTTTGTTCGACCCTGAGCTGTCCTTTCTCCCTCATATCCGTGCCACAACTGGCACCGCCTTCCATCACCTCCGGAATGTCGCCAGACTACGGCACTACCTCACCCCTCACGCTGCTGAAACACTGGTCAACGCCTTTATCACCTCAAGGCTGGACTACGGGAACTCTCTCCTCGCCGGCCTTCCCGGCACCTCCCTCCACAAGCTGCAGGTCATTCAGAACTCTGCAGCTCGTGCCGTGTACTGTCCCGCACCAGGCTTCGCGACCACATCACTCCCACCCTCGCTCGCCTCCACTGGCTCCCCATCCCCCAGAGGATCGAATTCAAGATCCTCATCCTCACCTACAAGGCCATTCACGGCCTTGCTCCCTCCTACCTCTCCGACCTACTATCCCCCTACTTACCTGCCCATACCCTCCGTTCCTCTGGCTCTGGTCTGCTCCACATCCTCCGCCCCAACCACCCTACGATCGGTGGCCAGGCCTTCAGCCTCTCAGCCCCGAGGCTCTGGAACTCCATCCTCCAGTGCCTTCGCCTTGCTTCCTCCCTTTCCTCCTTCAAGGTCGGTCTCAAGACCTTTCTCTTCGACCGTGCCTTCAGCTCCCCTCTCGACTCTCTACCCCCTCCTCGTTCCCTCCCTTCCCTCACCCTGACCATTTCCCCCCTGCTCGGGTTCCATCCCAACTGTCCAGCGCCTTGGGACGTCCTCCCGACGTGAAAGGCGCTCCATAAATGCAATGCTGTTGTTGTTGTTATCTCTGGGTAATGCTATGCTGTTTATTTCTGTATGAAAAGGCTCCTTTAGAAGCCTGTATACTATTACATCAAAGTATAATGAACTGGAATATGCCGAATTATGTATTCATTTTTAAAACGCAACTTAGTTTGTTTTAAAAGTAAATTTAAATATTAAAATCTAGTAGAAAATTCCTGTGGCCTTCCAGTTTACGGTTGAGCAAAGTCTCTTAATTTTTGGCTAGCAAGGGCAGCAGTAACCAGAGTGGTGCATAAGTGGGGTGCTGTTCCTGGAACTTTCCAATCATTTGTTCTTGCTGCTGTACCATTTATGTTATGCAGAACATTGTTAAATCAATTGCTTCAATGTCAATCCATTAAGGAGTCTGATTTCATATAGGGGAGGCAGTCGGAAATCAGACTCATTGGAAGGATTTGAGGAAATTCAGCGTTTGAAAAATTGGCCATTTTACATGCACATTAGCAAATACCTTTGGAAGCAGGCTTGTTTCTGAAGGCAAACTCTTAACGTGCAAATTTGCCTCCGGATGTAAAAGCATCAGTTATATTTTAATGTAAAAGCGCTTGTAAGTCTTAATCTATCTATGTAATTCAGCATGTTCTGTGTCTAAAACTCTGTTTTGTTTTAGATTGATGAACAAAGGATATGTGTATGTGTAAGAAAACGACCACTAAACAAGAAAGGTATAGTCCTTTTATTTCAATTTTCCGTTTAGTTACTAATTTGACCCCATTATTTTATCTATATTCCAGTTGGTCTTTAAACGTATCTCTGTAGCTTTAAACTTTTGTGTATTGCCAAAAGATAATCTGTAGGACAAGAAGGGGTAATACTGCTGTAAATCTGGCATCTGAGTTCCAATCCTGGACAGACTGATGGGAGGTAAGAGTCCAATTTGAAATGTTTAGGGTGATTTCAGTCCAATTCTTATTTGGGATGATTTCAGCCCAGTTCACTATGGACACAGATTCTATAATGTGAATCTGCCTAAAATTAGCAGATTTGGGCAGAAAGGTCATTTAGATAACTTATTTGTAAGTGGAAAATCATACTGGTTTATTAGAGAGTATTCTCCTCAGGTCGTGATTAAAGCACAGTGTAGAGGGAACTATAATCTGCATTTGGTCATACTATATTTGACCAGAAAATGCTTGATGCTAACCGTATGTATCAACAGTTCTGTTTTTAGCATTGGCATCCCTCATAAGTAACAAAAGTGCTATTTTTTTCTTTTAAATTTGCGTACTGCCAAAGACTAAGCATATTATTAAAAAAAAAGTTTTAAAATGCTGCAGCTGTAATGATCTGACTTCACATCTAGCTAAGTATCTCCTGATATTTTAAAAAGGAATAGAGTAGTAATTAATGACCAAACTGCATTAACTGGAAATAATCATTGAATGTATTGATATAAAAATTATATATTCGCCTTCCCTCTTCCAGCAATTGTGACTCTCAGAGCAATAAGACGTAGTTGGAGGAGATACCATGAAAAGAGGAACCAGAAGGGAGGCTTGAAGCTATCAGGTAGCAGGCAGTAGTGAATGAGGTAGCAAGCATTACAGGAAGATGGAAAATAGCAAGCATAAAAACGAGGCAGTCATTGGGAGAACAAATCACACAGCAAATCTATCCAGCTCTGCCATGTTTTTAAAAATTTAATCTGGAAAATGGTGTGATTGCACAACACTTTCTGATTTATTGATATGGCATCACACATTATAACTTTTTTTTTTGAATGATGCTATCCTGACCCAAACTTTAATTAATTACAACTTATTATGGTTGTTTTTTTTAAACTATTTTAAACTATTTTTAAACTATTCCACATATTGCAGGCAAATCTGGCCTATACTCCCAGGAAGGGAAACCTTTGATTATGATGTGATATCAAGATTTTGTTCATGTGAAACTCCCTATTCCTGTATGATTTTTTTAAAAAAAGCTTATTCTGAAGAAAAGAACATTGATTTTAATATGTATTTGGTTGCATTGCACTTCAATCCCTCCATTACGATAATTAAAGCCTTAAGAGTGGACTGAAAGGCTGCATATGGCTATTCTAGAGATCTCTCCCGCTTCATTAGGCTTTGCAAAGGCCAAATGAGAAAATTTTGTAAGCACCTTTGCAGTTCCATCAAAGGTAGATAGAATTTATAGTGTCCCAAAATAAAAACAGAAGTCGCTGGGAAGACTCAGCAGGTCAGTCAGCATCTACCGAGAGAGGAAAGTGAGTTAACGTTTCAGGTCGATGACCTTTTGTCAGAACTGACATCCTGTATGTTAATGAAGGATACCATTAACTAGAGTGTTCTTTGCATATTGGGTTCTTGTGCCTCCACAAACTTGATGCCTTGCTGAAAGGTTCTCCCAACTTTTTCATCTAACAAACTTGATTGTTGGCAGGAGAGACTCCTATTACAGAGACTCGTTTTATTGATGATAGGCACTCAGGAAAATGCCCTCCCCAAAGAAAGCTTATCCTGCGGTTATGGATTAAAGTACTCCTCGAATGTGAGGTGGATACCTCGGCATTCACAAATCAATATCAGTCTTTACTCCTGTTTCTTTGTGGTTTGATTACAAGATTGGTTTGGATGAACAACAGAAACTCGCATTTATATAGGACCCTTCACACGGGTAGCGTCTTTGAGAACTCGACAGCTTAACGCTGAGCCAGGGAGAGGGGGAGGTGACCTTGGTATGGCCGAAGAGGAAGGTCTTCAGATGTGACCTGAAGAGTGACGAGGGGCAAGCCAGGAGGATTGAGGCAGAGATTCCAGAGTCTCGGGGCAGAGTGACTGAAGGTAGGGCCGCCAATAGTGCAGTGGGAGGGACAAGCAGGAGGCCAGAGCCAGCTAAGCAAAGGATGGTGGGGGGCATGGGCAAAGGAGTTTGGTGTAAGCAGGTTGGAGATGTAGGGAGGTGTGAGGGCATAAAGCAATTTGTACGCGAGTGTGAGGATCTCAAAATTGATCGATTCTGCAAGGGATAGCCTGGAAAGGCATTGGTTACTGAGGTGTGGAGTTTAGTATGGGTAATATGGGTGATGAGCATTTAAATTAATTGGATTTTATGAATGGAGCTGGGGAGACTGGCGAGGAGAAATTGGAAAAATTGAGGCGCGAGGCAATGAATATGTGGATAAGGCTTTCAGCTACGTTGGGTGTGAGGTATGGTCGAAGGCGGGTGATGAGGTAGAGGGAAAATGGTCCTGGTCAGGGACTGGATGTCGGGTAGGAAGGACAACTTCGGATCGAACCTGGTGCCTAGGTTGTGCACAGATTCAGTAAATAGCGAGGGATTTGCCAAGGAATTAAGGTAGTAGGAGCCAAAGGATTTTTTAAACTTCTACAAGTCCTTCTCTATCTCATCTGTCAAGACTGACAAGCCCTGGCTTGTCTAATTGTTGCCCATAGCTCATTTTTTCTAACGCTGGGGATCATCCTTGTCAATCTTCTCTGCACTGCCTCTCGGGCTTAGGCAGCTAGCTCCCTTATGCCGGAACTGCCTGCAGTTGGGAGGATTCGGATTGTTGCAAACCTCTTGCCAGACAGTCATAAACTTATTGTCAGTTACCAAGAAGCTTGCAATTACAGTAAAACTCATATATAAGTGTTATCTTTATAAATTATACAATTGTCTAAGTCGTACATTCAGTTTCCTATCAAAACCACTTGGATTTCTTTCCCCTCCTTCACCCATTTCAGGTTCCCCTCCCAGCTTGGGTACCCAGCCAGCAGTGTCAAGCTTTGAAACGTCATCCCAATATAGAAAGGTGCTACATAAATGTAAATGGCATTATATTCTCTTTTTTCAGAAACTACAATAAGGGATCTTGATGTAATCACAATTCCCAGTAAGGATGTTGTAATGGTTCATGAACCAAAACAAAAAGTGGATTTGACCAAATACTTAGAAAATCAAACCTTCCGCTTTGACTATGCCTTTGATGAAACATCAACTAATGAAATGGTTTACAGGTAAGCAGAAATCTTTGTATTTTCAGAATATCTAAAGTCAATAACTAATAAACCAGTAAACAAGTATTCATTGTAATATTGGGCTTTTGGAAGGCAGGTGGATTGATGAAAGTTGACTTGTTCAATCAGCCTGCAATTTTTACCTTCATGGTTTAGCCCATGGTTAATTCTTCCCCCCCCACCCCCCGCCCACAAACCCACAAGGTGATCACTCCTATTGGACGGAATGGTGGAATTCCATGGGAACTGGCATCTCTAAACCTTCTTCTGTTTTCATGTAGTGTTCACAAATATCTGTTTACTATTTACATAGCAATCAATGTTGGAAACTTGACAAGATGAGAACAACTAATCCAGCGCACAGTAGGGCCAGGCATTGTTTTGCTTGCTAGAACACCAGCAATATATTTACCCACTGAGCCATGGGGAATGTTAAACTAAAAATTTCATTATGAATGTTGACTGAGAGCTGCCATATAAATAATGTTGTGACATTTTCATTTAGTGAAATTGAAAAATAATGCAGAGTAGTTATGGAAATGTTGTGCCAAATGAATATCCATGCAGTTAACCTATAATTTGGGACAAAAATAACCAGATGGTTACTGAGCACTGTACTTACAAATGGAGTTTAGCTGTTCTGTATTCTAATATTTATTATTAAGGGATATGGAGAAAAAGTGTGATAAAAAAAATCCCATTCAGTGAATTAATAAAATGACATAACAAGCTTTTGATGGGCTGAATGCATATTCCAGTGTATATAATAGAAAATTCTAGTTTAACCTTGAGATATAGAATACGTAACTATTATTGGGCATTTAACAAATGCAAAAATAATCTTCATATTTGATGCCTTTATTTTGCTTTTGATAATCATATTTATTACTGTTACTCAATTTATATTTTTATGTTTGGACAAAGAATGTTATTTATTGCAATTTTTGGGGGGTTTTAATCTAGGTTTACAGCTCGACCCCTGGTGGAGACGATATTTGAGAGAGGAATGGCAACTTGCTTTGCATATGGTCAGACTGGTAGTGGAAAAACGCATGTATGTACTATTTATATTATTAGTTAAGTCCTTTTTTTTCAGTTGCATTCAATTCATCACTTGGTGTGACAAAATTTCTTTATGGTTAACATTTTAGACTATGGGCGGTGACTTCACAGGAAAAAATCAAGACTGTTCCAAAGGAGTATATGCTTTAGCAGGTGAATTTTCATAAGTGTTTATTATTTAACTGGAAATATTCAGTAAAAACTATTTATTTTGCAATTACTGTTTTTTAGCTACAAATAATGTTTTTTTTTCTTAAGCCTGGTTTTCATTGATCTAAGACAAATTGGATGCTAGCATTTATTACAAGAGGTCTTAAATATAAAAGTGAGGTGCTTCTCCAGTGATATAGAGCGCTGATCAGACTTCATTTGGAATACTGTGTTCAGTTATGAGCACCTAATCTTATACCAACATAAATTTTACATTAATATGAGGCCTAACGAAAGGCTTCTCCCTCCGTCCTCAGAACGTGAAAAACGCTATAAAAATGTAAATTGTTATATTTAGAATAATGGGTTGTGTAGATGTTGAATTCTCTGTCCCAGAAAGCTGTAGAGACATAATCAATGGGGATGTTTAAAAGGGAGAGAGACTGATACTTGGGTAGTCAAAAGTATTAAAGATGGCATCCGGGGGGAATTAAAAGATCTGCCGAGGTCGAAAAAAACGGTGGAATAGGCTCAAATGGCCGAATGGTCTCTTCCTGTTCCTGTTTTCCTATCTTCCTAGAATGTGAGTTTGTAATTGTTTTAACTCTGTTGCAGCTCGAGATGTTTTTCTAATGTTAAAGAAGCAAAATTACAGAAAATTAGAGCTCCAAGTATATGCAACATTTTTTGAGATTTACAGTGGTAAGGTAAGTGCTGCATTTTTAAAACCACAACATGTTATGTGCTTATTCTGGACTCCAGGGTGAAGCGTTAATTTGTATCTGGCTGCCTCCAGTAATCTATTTAAAATGTATTAGACATTGACAGGAAGATACAGCAGGTAAATGTGTGAATGACAGATGGTGTAGGAGGGAAAGTTTTTTTTTAAAAAAACACACAGACTCAGAAGGCTGTGCTGTAAATTTCTATAGTTTTAGATTTTATCCAGTTCCATTGACACAGCACCTGATGACTAAACAAATGGAAAGCAATACTTCTTAAGTGTTTCCCAGTATTTTTTAATCAGACTTCTTGGGGGTTCTCACAAATGGCCTGGGAATAATTCAGAACATAAATTATTGTCATCCAATTAAAGGAGCTATTTTGTCAACTTTTTTAATTTAGTGATTTGAAAGTGGTACTTTTTTTTCTTATTCCAGCTGAGGAATTATTAAATAAATATCATCTAAAATAATGATTACTAGAATATCAATTGCCATTCATTTTGATACAAATGTCATCAGTTTTCATAGAAGAATTTAATTACTGTTACTTTAGCAACATAAGTCTACATAAAATCAATATTGTAAATTCTCACAAATCTATTTGGTACAAAGTAATTACAAATCACTTTAAATGAGTTACATCGATACTTCAAACATGATTGCCTTAAAGATGAAAATTGAATGGAAGCCTTATCGTTATTATTGTTATACGTCTATAGGATTTAAATGCATCATTTCAGGCACTAAATGGAAAAACATTTCTTTAGATTTAATATTTGTATCTCAAGTCCATTTTTTAAAAAATTTAAGCAGATCTTAATCCCAAAATGTTTCCTTTCTTCTTCTAAAGGCTTGGTTTGATTAATTTGTAGAAAATATTCTTATATTTTGTTGATTTTGAAGGAGAATGTTTTAACCGTTGCTTATTTATACTGTGCTGTACATTTAAATGATTGAAGCCTTCTATTAACATTTAGTGTAATTTATTTTCCAGGTATTTGACTTGCTGAACAGAAAAAGTAAACTAAGAGTATTGGAGGATGGAAAGCAGCAGGTTCAAGTGGTGGGACTTTCAGAACGAGAGGTTAAGTGTACAGAAGATGTTTTGAAACTAATTGAAGCCGGCAATAGCTGCAGGTAAGTCTGAGCGAATTACTCCATTTACAAACCTTGCTTATAATTGCTATTTGACAAGATTATTAATAGTGAATTAGAATATGTGTAAATCTTATCTATTTAAATTGTTTTTTGGTTAAAGGTTTTGTGGGCATTTTGCCTATGAAACATACAGTCAATTCACTTTACAATATATTCTGTGAAGCGTTTTGAGACGTCTAGAAGACGTGAAAAGGCGCTATATCAATTGTAAGGATTATTATCGTAAGAGTTTTATGCTTTAGGAGTACAGTTTTTTGTTGAAAGTAGACATGATGAGATTATTCTTGCACAACTACTCAGAGGCCACCTATTAATGACAACAATTGTAGTAAATGTTTGTACACCTTCTATTTGGCATTTCAGATCACTTTTCCTGACTACTTTCTCAAATCTGCTCTCATTTTAAACTTTGAATTTCACACTTTATATTTAGATTTTTTTTAAATTTAGTTCTTGTAGTCCTTGTTCTTCAAAAGAAATTTACAAGATTTTATACTTAAAATAATTTGGTTTTAAAAACTACACAGTTCGAAAGCTTGAAAGGTTGTCGAATTTAATGTTTATTTAAACTTATTGTTCAATTGTTTATTTTGTAGAACATCTGGTCAAACATCTGCAAATGCTCACTCTTCTCGAAGCCATGCAGTGTTCCAGATTATTCTTCGCAAGAAAGGAAAAATGCATGGCAAGTTTTCTTTAATTGATCTGGCAGGAAATGAGAGGGGTGCAGATACGTCGAGTGCAGATCGACAGACACGGCTGGAAGGTGCTGAGATTAATAAAAGCCTTTTAGCACTCAAGGTAACCAGCAACATCTTCTGCAATTATTATTGTGTAAAGTATTTCTGAAATTCACATAAATTTTGTTCAAGTAAAATGGCTTGGATAAGGAGTGTTCTGTCGCTTCACTTCAAGTGAACAAATTTCATCTTCTGTATTCCAGTGGCATATTATGAAGTTGAAAGGTTTTATTTGCAACAAAAAGTGTGAGAGCACATCAATTTGCTTGAGTTACAGTTACTTCTTTCTGATCATCGAAGGGCAATGTTGAAATGTCTAGCGCAGAGCGTCTTGTCCTTGTTGGAATATGTGGTGGCATTAAATGCTGTTGTACAGAAACCCAGAATAATAGAAGTGCAAATATGTAAGTAGGTTCTTTCACTTGAACCATGAGCAGAACAAGAGAATGCAGATTTAAAATTAGAAGGGCTCAAATAAGAATAGTGATTAGAATGTTTTTTCAAAGTGTTGGTTATGTGGAACAGGCTCCCAACAAAAACAGTTGATTCTTTTTCACTAGAATATATAGAAACAGCACGTTACAGTATTCTGGTGAAGTGCTTTGAGAAGTACTCCAGATGTGAATTTAGCTAAATCAATTGTAAGGATTATTAATTAACTGCTTCAAAAATAGCATCAATAATTATGTTCAAGACTTTAATTGGAGAATCTAGGGATAGGTACTGACTAAAATAATACTGCAGCTGTGATTGAGGAGAGGAAATGTTATTTTTGAAGGGAGGAAGACTAGTATTAATACTAGGATTGCATAAATATGGTATTCTAAAATTTCTGCTTGATTTACCTTTAGATTTCAAAGTAATAGTTATACAATACTTTTAGCCCAAGAGACGAGTGAGAAGGCCTTGATAGGGAAGATTTGAGATGGTTATGGAAGAAGTAGTGATGAAGGGATAAATAAAGGGAGATATCCAATCTGCAGTCTTGTCCCTATAATATATGTTAGGACTTGAGCATTTTTTTTTCACTCTAGTACCAGTGACTGGGCCATTGAAGATATATTTTTCTCACACGTTTGTAAATAATTATTTCATATAGTGTAACTATTTTAATGTTGTATAGGCTGCTGACCTTTAGAACTCTGCCTCAATCTTCCTGCCTTGCTCCCTGCTTATCTAGCTTTGAACCCCAATTTAAAACCTATACCTTAAATTGACTGTGCCTGGGTCACCTACTCTTCCGCCTGCCCCCTGCCACTGTACAGCTCTAATCTGCATGAAAGGCGCTTTATAAATGGAACTTGTTGTATGCTTTGATTTCCTCTATTATATGCTCCCATTGCTGTTTTAGACAATTTGGTTGCTCACCACTAATTAAAACACAGCACTTCCTCCTATTTTTTATTCAGAAGGAAAGGATTAAATAATTTTTAATACTGCTATAACATTTGTTCATGAGTTTTGCATGCTGTTTACTAGTATAAACTGACAATTTAAATTAAAAGATGATTAAAGTGGCCTGTATTAGCCATTTTTTTTGAGACGATCTTTTTTCACTCCATTTTTCATGTAATTTCACACTTAATACAAATTATTTTCACATGTAAAAATGATGCTTTGTGTTTGCTCATACCTAGGAATGTTACTGCTGAGGAATTCCATTTCAGGTACCCAGTGTCAAAATTGAGTACGTCCAGATCAGAGTTCATATATCTCCTGTATGCAGGAGTCCTGTAGCTCAATGGTTAGAGCACTCGCTTTGCAAGCGAGACACCTGGGTTCAATCCCAGGCACAGGGAGAAACCTTGGGCAAGTTTCCTTACTCCACACGCCTAATAATAATCCCTCCAAAACAAAAAAAACAATAATAAATTGGTCATTTTCAATCCATGACTGTTTGTGGGACACTGCTGTGTGCAATTGGTTGCCGAGGTTCACCCACAAATATACAGTCAATTCACTTTACAGCATATTCTGTAAAGCGCTTTGAGACATCTAGAAGACGTGAAAAGCACTATATCAAATGCAAGGATTATTATTATCTCACGCCAACATGTCTTACTCCACTTCTAAACAGCACCACATAACTGAAGTGCTATGACCTTTCCAATTCTTAAACCAGCCACCCTTGTGGATTCTCTGAGTGAGATTAAAAATTTTGAATGAATTGGGACCTGTTTTGTACTGTCAACCCATACTGTTTTTTAAGGATCTCAGAATTCACTTCATGTAGGACCCTTTTGGTGAGAGAAGATTTTCATTTTATTAGTCTGCTGTCATCCAGTCTCAGACAATGTTTTGTCTAGAATTTTACTGAGACTGTTTGGGTCTTTTGATTTAATATGTATTTTATGTAATTGCAGGAATGTATCAGAGCCTTAGGTCGAAATAAACCTCACACTCCATTCCGAGCAAGTAAACTGACTCAGGTGCTCAGAGATTCTTTCATTGGAGAAAACTCCAGAACCTGTATGGTAAGTTCTAGGTTTAGACATTTTAAAACGTTTTTGTTTGAAAGTTCAATTGGCTCTATAATTAATGTATTTTCCTCCCCTGTTGTCCCTTACCAAAAGAAAAAATGTTTGTATGAGAATCCGTAGGTTGTACCAGAAACTCTTTCAAGTTATTTGAATTTCAATAAGTAGCTTTTTTAAAAAAACACATCTTCTCTAATCTTGATGGTGATGACTTGTATTGGGATATAGTTTCACGATGAGAAATAAATCTCATCCTTTGGCAGCTCTTCCAAATGGGTGTTTTTCATTCGAGTCCACACACTTGAGGGATAAAGTTTGAATGCCTGGAACAAGAGCTTGAGCTGCCTTTGTGTAAAGATAGTCAAATGTAATTGCTTGCAATTGTTTTAGTTCCAATTTATATAATCCATGCAACAATCACATGCAGCTGCCTGTGCATAAAGTCTAGTGGGTTGCAAATTAAATTTTAATTTGATTCAGACAAGTATGAAACATTTGGTTTTATTGTATAAAAGGCAACATACTATTTTACATAAAGTTTGTTTATTCACATTTTACCTCTTTTAGTACTTGTATCTAGTAATTGCAATTGATATCTTGTTTACTTGCTGATTACACTAAATCTAACTGCTTTAAAATAATGAAATCATCGGACTGTCCCAACCCACTGAGATGACCTCTATCAACAGACCTTTGACCTTCTGAAAAGGTCTTTTTTGGTTTAATGCTACATCAAACCATGTGATTTGCCCATAAGCATTATTAATTATTTTAATGGGGATTTTAGAATATTAATATTACATATCTCATGATCGCTTCTGGAATATTTGTAATCTTTCATACTAATGTACTAACTGTATCTAACGTATCCTGATTTAAGTTCTCATTGCTGTTTTACACAATATCTATATAGGTTCCATTTTTAATCTTACATCTCTTATGACCACTCTGGGATATTTTAATCTTTTTGTGCTAATGTAATATACAATTTCTCCCAGTCCAGGTTTTATGATGTCTGGTGATATTAATTGTGTCTCTAAGACAAATTTCCTTATCTCTATTGTGTTCTTGAAATACTCCATTCCAATTGTACTAATAAATGTTGCTGCATTGTTAGTGCACTACAGTAGAGAGACGTTTATCCACATTAGTTGGGACCACCCCATTGGGGTTGGTGGTACTGATAATAATACAAATTGACTATAGTGCTAGCCAAGAGCTTCTTCCATTAAGAGTTATACTGTCTCTAGCAACACACTGCACCAACCTTTCCTTTTTTCTACCATACAGTTTCTGGGTTTTTTTTGCCCCCACATCTATTTCTGCATCGAAGTCTGATGCAGTTAAGCATTCTACTGCAGTTGTATTAATGTTTTTTGGTAATGCTACAAATTGATTTGCAGACACATTATTTTAATATTGTGGAATCATAACCACACTAAAGCTAAAGTAGTTTAGTGCAAATGGTTATCAATGCTTCCCTTGCTGTTTTGGAGTTGTGGTGAAACAGTTCCAGGGTAGCGAGTGGAAACCACTTCTTTACATTTGTAGTTTTAGATGATGGTATAATTTGTGTTAGTATATATAAAGTATCCAGCACAGACCTATGAAATTGAGTGCTGTAACAGTACATGGAATACATGCTACTTTAGCAAAATAGTTTTGGGGTTTAATTCCAAAGGAGATTTTGAAACATCATTCCTTGAAAATTCTTTAGTCATAAGTGCATTTTTTGTATCTGTGTGTTTACAGATTGCCACTATCTCCCCAGGAATGAGTTCCTGTGAGAACACACTAAATACACTTAGATATGCGAACAGGTATGATTTTAAAATAATATGCATACAGTCGAATGAGCCATGTCCATTCTAATACAAACTGTTTAGTTGTTATTTCAACAGTATATTTCCAGTTATTGACTTAAATCTAAAAATTAAATCTCTACAGTTCTTTTCTTTCTATCCTTCATGCAGGAACCAGATATTTTATTTCTTAAATGGTATTAAATTAATTCTAACAAATTATTTTTTACATTACAGGTTCTGTGCTATTAAATAATAATGTTTACATTTGATATCGTGCTCATCACTTTGATATAGTGCATTATCACTTGAAATGTATTGCTCAATGCAGTGAATTGCTTTGGTGCCTAATCTGTAGACAAATGGAGCAGCTAACCTGCACTAGCTTGTCCCACAAACTGCTACGAGATGAAAGACTAAATTAGCTTTTATGGATGTGGAATGAATCTTAGCCAGAAGTCTCTTTCAGTTTTCTGTTCTTCTTCAAAATAATCCTGTGGGACAACAATTCTATGGAATATTTGTCCTGATGTATGACCTGAACCATAGAACAGGAAAATAGAACCTCAGCGTCACATCTGAAAAGAATCCAAAGTTGTTTCTTTTTCCGTTGTCCAGTGGAGGGCTGGGTGGGAAGTTTTTTTTATGTATAGCACTGCCCATTGTGCAATATCCTCACTAAAAAACCTTTTAAAACATCTCAGCTGTTTTTTGTTTTTTCTCCCATTATGTGCTCTTTCATTCTGGGACATGACGGGACAGAAGGCTTGTATCTTATTGCAACTTATATCGTCAGTTACTACAACAATAACTTGAATTTATATAGCATCCTTCACATAGGATAACAAACGCCTTAGACATCCCTTGGAAAGCGTTTTTCTTTGAACTGTTCACATACATGGTATACCTGTGGTACTTATACATAATAATGTTAATACATGAAATTTTAATAGACTCAAAGGTGGTTTCCTCTCATTGCCTTCTAACCACATGTCCTAAGCACTTGAATATAATGGGGTCTATGATGCAAGTTGGGTTAATGTTTTTATTTTAGAAGTTGTGTAAAACATCTGTACAAAGGGAATTCAAGAGTGCTTTAATTATAATTGTTGTATAATCCTTCCATTTGATGGAATGCCTTATCGCATCTTCAAGCCATCTCAAAGCACTTTACAGGATTTACTATAGAACGTAGTGACTATATATTTTATAGGTGAACTTGGCAGCCTTTTGACACAGCAATGTTCCACGTACAGCCATGACATGAATGACCATTCATTTATCTGGGGAATAGTTGACCCAGACACTCGGGGTGGGGGGAAAAAAAAACTCACTTTCTCCTCCCTTATGTATTTCTTCATGTCTGTTTGTGGGACATTTGTATGTGCAAATTGGCTGCCTCACCCCCTCTTTCTCTTTAAATCCCACCTGAAAACTTACCTCTTTAACCGTGCCTATTGTCGCCTCCACCTTCTTCCTTGCTTAGAGTCTAACCCAGCCACTGGACAGTGCTGCCAAGATGTTATCCTAGGTGAAGGGAGCAAAATATATGCAAGTTGTATGTTGCGCACACATTTATTTTTTAAATGATAATGCGGACTAGGACCTAAGATTTCTGTACAAAACTGAAATGATTGTTCTGTTAGATTCACAAATAATTTTATTAATATGGGTATGAATTATTTTTAGCAAGCAACATTCTATTAGATGTATCACACCCAAATTTGATTCAACATTCAAATTTCAGTCTTTTAAATTTGTGACTATCGATGCATAAATGTCTTTCACATTATAACTACTGCTCTGTCCTGACTGGGTATTTTTTTCCCTCTTTGTTTACTCTTTTGCTTGGTACTGCAGAGTAAAGGAATTTGGAATAAGTCCATCGGACATTCCCTTTCAGCAGGGCGGTGGGAGCCGTTCTGACCTTTCTCCTACTTACCTCGAATATGATGACTTCCCTCCTTCACCTACCAGGTCTACGTCTTTTCTATTCCATTTCCTCAGTTTCCCCCTATCCCATCTACTTTTTTTTTTCCTCTTTCTTCCTCCTCCCATCCAATCCAGAGTACTTACTGGGCCAAATGAACAAATTGCACTTTGGTTTATTGTTTATTTGAAGCTGTACTGAATGTGTTGCATGTCAATTTCTTTTGCATGTTTTCCATAATTTTTAGAATATTTAGTTTAAAAATGTACTTTGCATGCTTGTATCTAGTTTTTCAAATTTTATTTATTATTCATATACATTGTTCTCATCGGAATAACTGAAGTTTGTGAAAACATTATTAGAATAGACCAGGAACTGACATGAGTAGCTGTCTCAGAGCTACCCTTATGGCTCAGGTAGTAAAATCACTATGAAACAGCTTTTCCAACTTGAAGATTCTAGGTTTAATTTTCTGCAGTATTGGAAAAAGAACTGCGGAAAATCGACTTCCTAATTAAGTTAGTACTTGAGCCTGTTTTCCAAAACTCTTCACAATCTTAAATATTCAGAAGTCGTATGAAACTGTGAGGGTTTCCAGCCTGCTAATTAGTGTCCACCCATTATCCAGTGGCTTCTGCTAGAAAGTGAAGCTTGTGTAGAAGCTTGGAGGGGTCAGGATTTTTGCTCTCCTGTGAATGGCATAAATGCCAGGCTGTTGATATGCATCTGGTTCTCACATGAAGACTGAACTTGGGTCAGGTACCAGCACCTGTAGACCATTGTTCAGCAGAGGGGAAAATTGGAAGTGGGTAAACCAAACATACATTTGTCAACATAATGGGAATTTTTGAGAAAGAAAAGTTGTACTCGAATGAATGTTATGTACAAAAAGGTTTTACTTATTAAGGGCTAGAGTGCAGTGATCATATTTTGGATTTAGAATGTATTCAGTCGTCCATCAGACGAGTTGTACACAATCCTACTGTTAGTGGTCCATTGCTGAATATTCTAGCCTTGGTTAAGCAAACTTTAGAGTCCTATTAATGGATGTTAACCAAGTCATGAAAACGGCCATTTTTTTTGAATTGTTGTAATATTTCATATTTTTTGGGGTCAGCCAGGTGTCTTGACATAACCGGGAACCCATCACCATGCTTAAGCGTATCAAAACCCCAAAGGTTCCATGGATCCCACCTATACATGGAAATTCAAGAGATGTTTACTGGAATGGAATGTGCATTCTCTCCCTGGAGGGACACTGCTTATCTAGTTTCTGAGATTATTAGCTGCAGGTTGGCAAGAGCCAAGGCTTGGAGACCCCAGAGTGTTCTATAGGGTCCTGTTGTCTGGCAAGCTTTCTCGCTGCTTGTCCAGCTTGGGCTACCCTACCCGTTATGTGCTTTGGCTTGCAGGGTTAGGGGGAACTGAGTGGGAAGATTCCTTGCCATCTGTGACTGGTTTGCCCCTTCCAAGTCCTGCCAATGAGCCAAGCTGGCTGGGCTGTCTTCAACAGTGCCCTGGGATACTATGGACCTGCCTGTCTCAGGAACTGGACTATTGAGACCGTCATAGAGGGTGGGCTTGATTCTTACATTCCCTTGACAAACATGACACCTTGGTCCCACCCTCCTGAGATTGAGCACTCACTGGGCACCAGGATGTCCCCTCATACATTAGTATTGTATCATCCAAATCAATTTGTGCCTATATCATGGTTTGGGCATTTTTAAGATATCTGCATCATTGGTTTCAAATACATTGATTGAGTCTCTGGATTGGGAATACAACAATTTAATATTTAAATTTTATATTTTATAGCACCTTTCATGTTAGGAGGACATCTCAAAACACTACACAAGCCCCAACTGGTGGTGGGGAGTTCTGAGTGGGGAGGGAAGGTGACCAATAGCATGGTCGAAACAAAAGGTTTTAAGGGGAGCTTCAAATGTGCCAAGGGAGGGGGTGATTCTAGAGATGGATTTCTAGAGAACTGGGACAGAATGACTGAAAACTCATCCACCAATGGTGAGGTGGATCAGGCAGGGAACACAAAACATTTATATTGTAATAAATTCAATCCAAATATAGATTTAAAAATCTAGGAAGTATTTGTGAATTCAAAAGTGCCTACACCACAACAGCTGTGAATTTTTCTCTTATTCGTTCAAACTACACATAATATAGAGCAACTTTATCATCTTATGATGGAAAATTGCCTAGGGACACAGTTCCATTAAGAACTTTGCACCTTGGTTAAAATACTTTTTTGCTATATGTACATAAATCTTGTTCTGGGATGTACCTTTGTTAATTTTCTTCCTTTAATAGCAGCAGGTCTCCTAAATCCTTTTCTACTTGCAATTTTCTGGCCTTGTTGCCTCACACAACAATGAGCGTTACCTTTACACTATCCATCGGGTCATTGAGGGAGCTTATTGGGAAAACTGTTTGAGAATATTGCATGGGGTTTTATTGATGCTAATTTAAAGATCACAGTTGTTATAAGCAGTACTCAAAATGGATTCGGTCCTGCCTCAGTACCCACCAGAATTCGTGAAGTAACTAAACTTCCAGTGGATATTAATTTACTGGGATGTTGTGAAGGTATTTGATATCCACATATGATACTTTAAGATGCTAAAGCTCATGAAATTAATGGCAAGGTAGCTGGTTTGATTGCCAATTTACTTAGCAATGGGAACAAAAGATGATGAATGAAAAAAGGCGATTGCAGTGGAGGTGCCAAGGCAGAATTTCTTAACAACAAAATTACATTTGTATAGCGCCTTTCACTTTGGGAGGATGTCCCAAGGTGCTGGACAGAGTTACGGACCCGAGCTGGGGATCGGGATTGGGGAGGGTGGAGGGCAGGGGGGGAAGCAGAGAAAATGAAAGCAAGGTCGAAGAGGAGGGTTTTGAGGTGGGTCTTGAAGGTGGCGAGGGAGGGGGTGAGACGGAGGCAATGCGGGATGGAGTTCCAGAGGGTGGGGGCAGAATGGCAGAAGGCTTGGCTGCGAATAGTGGGGTGAGAAAGGCGGGGGACGTGAAGCAGGCCAGAGCCCGCTGAGCGGAGGGAGCGAACAGGGTGGTAGGGGGTTAGGAGGTCGGAGAGGTAGGGCGGAGCAAGACTGGAGGGCTTTGAAGGTGAGGACCAGGATCTTGAATTGTATCCTCTGTGTGATGGGAAGCCAGTGGAGTTGGGCAAGGATGGTGGTGATAGGGTTGCAGAGCCTCGTGTGGGAGAAGAATTGGGCTGCAGAGTTCTGGATGATCTACACCCTGTGGAGGGAGGAGTTGGGGAGGCCGACAAGCAATGAGTTTGCATAGTCGAGCCTCGGTGTAATGAAGACATTTATAAGGGTTTCGATGGTCTATGGTGTGAGACGGTGTTGGAGCCGGGCGACGTTGCAGAGGTGGGGGAAGGCAGAGCGGGTCTTGGCGCAGATGTGGGATTGAAAGGATAGTCGAAGGTCAAACATGATGCCAATGTTCCGCACTGGCTTAGCAAGGTGGGGTGTGCAACCATGGATGGGGATGCTGTCAGCGCCTGAGGTGAGGAACCAATCAGGAGGACCTCGATCTTGTTGACGTTCAACTGAAGAAAATTAGCTCTCATCCAGGACTTGATGTCTGACAGCCATTCTGTCAGCACAGCAGTGGTCCTGGAGTCAAGGGTGGAAGTTGACCCCATGTCTGCGGATGATGTCACCAAGAGGGAGCATATAGATATTGAAGAGGAGGGGACCAAGGACAGAGCCCTGAGGAACGCCACACGAGACGGTCCGGGGGTTAGAGGAGAAGTCGTTTGATGAGGTGAAGTGCAGGCAGTGTGAGAGGTATGATCTGAACCAATCAAGGACAGTGCCGTTGAGGTGAGAGGTGAGGCGGTGGATGAGTATAGAGTGGTCGACGGTGTCGAAAGCAACTGAGAGGTCAAGGAGGACAAGAGAGCCCTGATCGCAAATGGACAGAATGTCTTCCCAGAATGTCAAGGGTCTGTTCTGCGTTGCTTCCCATTCATACTACATCAATTACTTGGAAAAGAGAAGTTTTTGTGATATAAAACTTGTTCATGTGATAATAGAAGTTCAATTTGTATACGGAGTTACACAGCAAGTTTGTATAAATTCACTATTGGTATTTCATAGAAGGTTGTGGCTTATCTAAAATAATTGTATATGACCATCTCACTACTGCACTATTTTACCCTTACTCCTACACTGGGGATGTACTACTGTAAAATTAAAAATTCTCTTGAAACATGAAACATTTTAAATTGTTCTTTATCCCCCCGCCCCCTCTTGTGNTTTTTCTTGAATTCAGAGTTAAAGAGCTGACTGTGGATCAAAATGGTTCAGGAGATGGACGAGCTAATATTCTTGTGCCGAGTCAGCTTGATGCTCTGGAAGCGCAGTGGGGATTAGGAAGCTCTCCTCAGCGAGATGACCTTAAACTGCTCTGTGAACAAAATGTGAGTATTCTCAATTTTTTATTTTACAGTATAATACAATTTATATTTAGCAACTTACATGTCAGGCAAGTCATAGAAATTGCTTATTGCTGCTAGCTGGAAACCTGAGCTGGGATAGGAGTCAAAGGTGGGTGGGAAGGCAAAAGATGACCGAAAGTGTGGTCAAACAGGTACATCTTAAGATGAACCTTGAACGAGGTGAGGCATGGAGTAAGTCAGAGATGGAGTTCCGGAGAGCAAGGGCAGAATAGCTGAAAGCCCACCTACTGATGGTAGTAAAGGATCGGGCGGTGTACATGACCATCACTACTGCACTATGTTACCGTTACTACCACACTAGGGATGTACTACTGTAAAGTTTAAAAAGCTAGTGTTCACTGAGCAAAAGGAGCAACCAGATCGTTAGGATTGAAGTAGGTTGTGGAGGTAGGGTGTGGTGACTCTGGAGGGATTTGAAGGTCAAAAAGAAAATCTTGAATTTGATAGGCGTTGAGGGAAATCTGCATGGGTAAGAGCACAGATGTAGAGTTTGAAGGACAGTGGCAGATAAACAAGATGCTGAGGTTCCACAGTGGCTCAATAAGGTGAGATGTACAATCGTGCAGATTGATATTGTCGATGCCTAGGGTGCTGAGGCACTAACGGGAGCAAAGCAGCAGGGCCTTGGTCTTGTCTGTGTTTAACTGAAGAAAGTTACAGCTCATACAGGACTTGATGTCTGTCATTTTATGCGTATTTTAGTTTTTAACTGAATTATGGTTATTTGATGATAAATGGGCTGCGAGTAAAAATAAATTCAACAAATATGATGCATTGGCAAATATCCATCCATGAACTGAATAATCATACTTTAACATCACTTGGCTTTAAACTGTGTAGTGTTTTGCCTTTTCAGCTTTCAGATCAATTGTCGCTTTATCAAAGTTACTTGCATCTACAAAAACATGTTTTTAAGTGATCTTAAGCAAACCTTCTGTGTTTAAATGTTCTCTGATCTGACAGATACTTTGTGTATGAAACTGGAATTTTAGTTTTTATAATGTTAATCCTTATGTTCCATGTTCTATTTGGAGTATACCAGGTGTTTTTTTTTACTGTTTGTGAATGCACATGGATGAATTTCACCAGTTTGTAGTTTATTTTGAAAATGTTGCATAAAATTGTTGCGTCACAATGTTTGTTTTGAAAAGGCACTTACAATGAGTCGCTTTATTAAATTATTGAACTTAAGTAATTTCATAAAGCTACTTTGAATAGATTATTGGTTTTCAAGCCATTTAAACTCATTGCAGGATTTATTCTAGTAGCGAGTTTTACCATGGAAACGCTGAAAGCAGACTTCAATATGTTGGAGTAGCAAAGTATCTTGGAACACCTCACTTGAAGCCATTTTGTCTTTTCTGCCCTTTAAATATGCACTGAGGCCAATTGTACTGCCACAGCTGTTTAAATCAACAGTCATTTCTGAACACTGAACAATGTGCAGCTGAAAGTTACTGCCTAAAGCAGAATTTTTTTTAAAAATGTTTGTTTTAGGAAAAAATCTTTTGAGTAAATGTACAAAATGATGGACAAAGGAATTTCTTTTAAAAAAAACTTATTCAATTTGCACTCATTATTGGTCTAACCTGTTTTAAATTTACAGGACTATTGCGTATAAACATTGATTGAAAAATGTAGATTAACTTTTAAATCAATGTGTAAGAACTCTACTTAAGCCTCAGTTTTCTTCTCTGTTTAAAAAATATTTTTTCAGTTAAAAACTTTAATGGCTGATTCAGCCTTTTACCTATGTTTCAAGGAAGAGGAGGTTTCACCTCAACTGTTCACTTTCCATGAAGCTGTGTCTCAGATGGTAGAAATGGAAGAACAGGTGGTGGAAGATCACAGGGCAATTTTCCAGGTAAGATTGTTTGGTGATGTCTATATTTGCAAATTACATTTGATATATTAATTGCAACATTTGATTTTTACATATGCTAAACCATTTGAATTGTTTATGGATATTTGCAAACCCGTTATGGCTTCTCTCATCTCTGCAACATTGCCCGACTCCTCGGCCAAGCCAACACTGCCTCTCACTTGTCTTCCAGAACCGGCATTCAGCACGTCCAGATTTGACTATGCTAACTGCTTGCTCGCCAGACTTTCCAACTCTTCCCTCCACAAGCTGTAGATTATTCAGAACTCTGCAGCTCATGTCCTCTCCTGTACCAAGTTCCGTGAACCGATTACACCCGTCCTTCCCCAGATCCACTGGCTCCCCATCCTTCAGAGGATCGAGTTTAAAATTTTCATCCTCACTTTTAAAGCCCTCCATGGTCTTGCTCTTCTCTGCCTCTGTGAAGTATTAATGCCATACCAACTGCTCTACTCCATGTCCCCCACCTTGCCCGCCCCACCATCAGAGGTAGGGCCTTCAGCTTTCCTGCCCCCAACCTCTGTAACTCCATCCTCAATCCCTCAGCCTCGCCTCCTCCTTTGCCTCCTTCAACAACAAAATTACATTTGTATAGCGCCTTTCACGTCAGGAGGACGTCCTAAGGTGCTGAACAGAGTTTCAGATCTGAGCTGGGGGTCGGGATCGGGGAGGGTGGAGGGGAAGCCGGAAGGATCGAAAGGATGGTCGAAAAGAAGGGTCTTGAGACGGGCCTTGAATGAGGCAAGGGAGGGGACGAGGTGGAGTTCCAGAGGGTGGGGGCAGAGTCGCAGTAGGCCCGCCTGACAATAGTGGGGCGAGTGAGGCGGGGGACATGAAGTAGGCCAGAGCCTGCTAAGTGGAGGGAGTGAGCAAGATGGTAGGGGTTTGGGAGGTCGCAGAGTTAGGGGGGGAGCAAGACTATGGAGGACTTTGAAAGTGAGGACCAGGATCTTGAACTGTATCCTCTGTGTGATGGGAAGGCAGTGGAGTCGGGAGAGGTAGTGTCACGGAACCTGGTGTGGGAGAGGACACGGACTGCAGAGTTCTGGGTGATCTGCAGCCAATGGAAGGAGGAGTTGGGGTGGTCGACAAGCAGTGAGTTTGCATAGTCAAGCCTCGATATAATGAAAGCATGTATGAGGGCTTCAGTGGCCTCTGGAGTAAGACAGTGGTGGAGCCGGGTGATGTTGCGGAGGTGGGGGAAGGCAGAGCGGGTCATGGCACAGATGTGGGGTAGAAAGGATAGTTGAGGGTCAAACAAGACTCCAAGGTTCCGGACTGACTTAGTAAGGTGGAGTGTGCAGCCATGGATGGTGATGCTGTCAGCGCCTGAGCTGTGGAGGCGCTGACAGGAGCCAATCAGGAGAGCCTCGGTCTCGTTGTCGTTCAACTGAAGAAAATTAGCTCTCATCCAGGACTTGATGTCTGACAGACATTCTGTCAGGAGTGGTCCTAGAGTCAAGGGTGGAGGTAGAGTTGGGTGTCATCAGCATACATGTGGAAGTTGACCCCATGTCAAGGCCTCCCTCTGACCGTTCCTTCAGCCTCCCTACCCTCCACCTCTCTTGATTCTAACCCCCAGCTCGAGTGCAAACACTTAACTGTCAAGTGCCTTGGGACGTCCTTCCAACTTGAAAGATGCTATTTAAATGGAATTTGTTGTTGTTGAACTTTATTTGTGAAATGGTTTGTTGCTATTTTTGAAAGCCAGCAATATGCTGTGAATTATTATATATAATCTCCCATTAATGTAGCATATAATCTATTGCAATGGAATTAACAATTTATTTTGTATCTGAAGGAATCAATTCGATGGTTAGCGGATGAAAAAGTACTTTTGGAAATGACCGAGGAAGTGGATTATGATGTGGATGCATACTCCACACAGTTGGAGTCTATTCTAGATCAGAAGATTGAAATTCTAGCAGAACTACGAGGTAGGTTTACAAACAAGTAGCTGAAGAATGGTAAGAGTGCCCCTTAGCATGAAGCTATTTGTACTGATACCTGTATTTTTGTGAATCAAGATTTAAGATAAAGCCAACCTAATGATATTATTTTCTTTGTTCATTAATGTCTAAAATTTACATCCGATCTTTCCCCCAGTCAGCAAGTTTTTGAAACTTGTACAGGATGAATGCTTCTCTGCAGTACAATGCAATTGTACATTTATATAGTGCCTTTCACGTTGGGGGGATGACCCTGCAAGAAATGAGGAGAAACCAAATGACCACAATGCTCTACTGGTTGCTAAGTGCTTAGAAATGTGCAGCATTGAATTGAAGGCTCTAATTGGAAAATTGAGAAGAGATTGATAAATTGAGGAAATCCCTGTTTAAGGATTGCTTACCTTCCCAGTTACTTTTTCGTTCATCTCTTAAATTTTCTGCTCCCTTGAGCTTCTGCTAGACTGTCTTTTATTACTTCTTCAACAAAGACTCTCCAACCTTCACATGGAGTTTACATTTTCACATCATGAATATGCCTGATCTTTTCCTTTGACAGAACAGATTACTAAATTATCTGCACTTTCTTTTCCTGTTCAGAGGTAACCCAAGTTAACCATTTTTTGTACAGGCAGAATCAGAATGCTAAAAAGAAGCAGAAAAAGCAGAGAAGGAAGCAAAATGTTAGAACAGCTATCCAGCGAAGGTAAATTCCATAGTGACAGTTCAGTTTGTTGCAATATGTTGAGCATATTTAGGGAGTAGTGTCATAGAGAGAGCAGAATACTAATTACTGCACCTAAATTTCTCATCTGCCCAGATTATGGCTGGGTCAATGGGACCAGCTCACCTAACAATGAACATGTGCTTGTCTAACTTAACTGAGAAATAAGTCAGCGAAGATGATACCATCTCAATATCCTTACTGGTTGGCAAACAGTCTGGACGGTCTAACTAATGTAATCTCAGTGAGAATGTAATATTCAGGATACCTAGAAGGAAAGTAATACAGACCAGAAAAGGGAAGAAAATATAAACTAAAACTGCAAATTAAGGAATCGTATTGCTGTATGATTAGTTAAAGATTCCTCAGACTGTTTACTGTTGTTGCTAGAGCACTGAGCCAAGGCAAGGCCAAGTCTAATTGGAAGAGAAAAAAAATCATAAAAAGTTGATTTCTTTTTTCCTTCAATTTCCACTTCTGGAAGAAGTGTATGCGGATTCTTATGTGCCACTTCTCCAGCTCTTACTTAAGGGATTTAAATGTTATACATTTATCAATATCGACTGATGTGTGCTTTTTCACTTAAAACAATAAAAAAGATCTGTACAACCCCTTCCAGCCATAGTTAACCCAAGTTAATCATTTCTCATTCAGACAGAATCAAAGAGCTAAAGAAAGAACAAGAAATCTTAGGAATAAGCAGAGAAGTCTTAGAACAAAAAATCTTAGAACGACTGAACAGTAGAGGTAAAAATCAGAACAACAATTTAGTTTATTTTAGTATGTTGAAAATATGTGGGCACTATGCCATAGAGAGAGCCTGTGAATATATATTGCACCACTTAGACTTCTGAGTCTATGCCAATCACAGCTGGGTCACTGGGATAGCACACGGTGGACATCAGCTGCCTAACAAAGGTTAGGAAAGATTTTGCTGTTTTAGTATCCTTTACTGATTGGTAAACAGAAAACCGCTCTCGGCCATAGTGTACTGTTAAGCTTACTAAAATGGGGAGTAAATACTATGAAGGGAAGAAAATAAGAACTAGAGATGCAGATTTAAATACAAATTATTTTGAAGGAAATCAAGAAATTTTAGACCATTAGATCCAATCAAACTACTCTTTTTGATGGGTCCCAACCCAAAAGCTTCAAACCTTATCCTTCAGCATTTTCTTTCCAGAAATGCAGCCAGTTGCCTATTTAACTTATTTTTAGAGTCTTTCAATGGCCATTACTAGTAAAATATTCCACAAGTCTACCCCTGATTTTTAACAGGAAACAATTTATTTCCTTCCTCTTGAAGGCAACATGGCATGTTTGGGTATGGTTCCAGAGTTCTAGTCCTGTCCCAAGTAGATATTCTTCATGAATGAGGTCAGACTTCGAGTCAGTTACCATTTTAACCATAGCTGGAGAAGAGGAAAACCACTCCATTTCTGATAACTGGGAAAACATTGTATTGTTGGAATTGCTATCCTTTGGATGAGAAGTCCCTATCTGCCTGTTCAGGTGGATATCAAAGATCACCTGACATGATTCAAAAGAAGAGAGTTCTGGTGCTTAGCCAACAGATTCCTAGATAAGATTAATCATTTACTTCACAGTTGTTTGTGGGACATTTTGTGCAAATTAGATGCCACATTTGACCACACTGTCACTGCACTTACAGAAACCCCTGTGGAGCGCTTTGAGAAATTTCAACACAATAGATGCTATATCAAATGCAATGATTATTATTCTATTGTAATTAATTTATCTATTTTCTGGATACTGAAGAAAGAAGCTGTTCCATATTTGGCTCTCATCCTCTATTTCAAAGACTTACTAAAATATCCTATATTCTTTTACTAATCATTAGGCTGCATTCTAATAATAATAATAATCCTTGCATTTGATATAGCGCTTTTCACGTCGGGAGGACGTCCCAAAGCGCTTCACAGAACACACTGTAAAGTGAATTGACTATATTTTTGGGCGAACGCGGCAGCCAATTGCGCACAGCAATGTCCCACTTTCAATGTAGATTGAAAGTGACCAATTTATTATTGTTTTTTGTTTTGGAGGGATTATTATTAGGCGTGTGGAGTAAGGAAACTTGCCCAAGGTTTGCTCTGCCTGGAATTGAACTCAGGTCTCTCGCTTGCGAAGTGAGTGCTGTAACCACTGAGCTACAGGACTCCTTGTTCCTGTTCCTTTTAACACTTATCACCCAGTCACAAAAAGTTTAGTGTATATATGTTTCTCTTACCTGAGCATATACCGCTCTACCTTTCTAATTTGCTCTGTTGCTGCAAAGCACAACTACTTTCTCTGTCACTCTTAAATCTCTGGACTCCTGTCTTTGGAAGCAGCATTTCAAGTGGGAATAAAAACTACAAACTCAATTAGGGAGATGTCTAACTTTTACACATGAATGACAATAGCAATAGCCCACTATGCAAACAATTCTTGTTCATACCTAACCTGAATTAATCATTTCTTATTCAGACAGAATCAAAGAGCTAAAGAAAAAGCAAGAGATTTTAGGAAAAGGCAGAGAAGCCTTAGAAAGAAAAATCTTAGAACGACTGACTAGTCCAGGTAAATCTCAGAGCAACAGTTCAGTATGAGGAGAATATAAAGACTACATGCCTTAGAGAAAGGGAGAGTTTACTTCCTACCACCTGCACATAGGATTAGTAGTCAATCATGCCTGGGTCAGTGGAAGTAGCACTTGATGAATATGAGCTGTCAGCCTAAGAGAGAAGAAAGCAAACAAAGGTGGTGTCTTGTTAGATGCCCTTTATACTTTGCTGGAAGATATTGCTGAACTTTAGTCTCAGCCAGAGCTTACTATGAAGGGAAGAAAAGAGAATTAAAAAGACAATTTTAAACGCAAACATTGCAACAAAAAGATACTCTATGAATGTACAGCTAACTAGAGATAAACAAAAGATCAACTATGTTTATTAAGGAATTGTGGAAAAGTAATCCAAGATGCATATCACATTACTGTTTTTCAATATTTTCTTCATCACAAACTGTCAACATTAGATTAAGTGACATCACTGGGTGTAATTTGGCTGCTGCATTCGTCTACAAAAAAAACAGTAGTTAGTGCTATCATCTAAGATAGGCTGCTACCAAGGAAGCATATTTTGTGAATATATAGATCCAGCAGTGCCTCATGCAATCGCAAGTCACAAAGTTGATGTAACATTGGATTTCATTCATAACTTTCACATGAACATAGTGACACAGTCATAACATTGGTGGTTTCTCTGGCTGAGCTACATGGCGCTTTAATGTCTTGTATTGGTGGATAGTCAGGTGTATAATGTTTTGAAACATTCTCTCGAAGTGAAAAACATTTAAAAGCATCTCCCAAGAAGCTCCTCTGGGATTCAGAGCATTAATCTAAGTTGCCAACAATTGTGCATTTACATAGATTGTATATCATCTCTTCCTCTTATTGAAATTCAGGCTGTTAAATCCAAGCTTCATCAAGATGCCATTTTCCAAATTGTTCATGTGAGAAAAATATTGCTTCTTTATAAAGAGGTTAATTGGCTCACTTCTAGCTTAATTAACAATAATTACAAAGATATCTTCATTTGATCTTTTAATCTTGTATATTTGCTGTTTGAATGATTAATTCTTTTGCAGTGTTTGGATAGTAGTGCTATAATTATTTTTGCTTAGAAATTCTTAGCAACCTCCTACCAGGAAATGCTAGTTTTCTTGCATGTAGTTAAGTAATGAATGGTTAATAGGAAGTGGTGGTTCAGAATTAATGTATTGGTACCTGAATGTCTGCCAACAATCAGATGAAAACTGTAATGTTTAAAATATAGTTTTTCTGTCACTTGCAGTATTTTACTTCACAATTGGGCCTTGATTCTTTTTTTAAAAAAGCAAATAAAACTGAATACTGTGGATATTATCAATATCTTCTATTTTAAAATAGGATTATTTTAAGGTTTATTCTTAAGATGACTTTTTCCAAGCTACATAAATAATAATAATAATAATAATCCTTGCATTTGATGCTTTTCACGTCGGGAGGACGTCCCAAAGCGCTTCACAGAACACACTGTAAAGTGAATTGACTGTATATTTGTGGGCGAACGGGGCAGCCAATTGCGCACAGCAATGTCCCACAAACAGTCGTAGATTGAAAATGACCAATTTATTATTGTTTTTGGTTTTTGGAGGGATTATTATTAGGTGTGTGGAGTAAGGAAACTTGCCCAAGGTTTCGCCCTCTGCCTGGAATTGAACTCAGGTCTCTCACTTGCAAAGCGAGTGCTCTAACCTCTGAGCTACAGGACTCCACAAATAGAATGTTGATTAAACATAAACATGTAAATTCCAGTTTTATCTTAAAATTGGCTTCTTTTGTAATGATGTTTAGCCTACTGAATGGCGTGTTATGGTTCAGTAAGGGGGCAAGGCACACGGATGCACAGAAATTCCTCACTCTACCTGCTCTTGACATTATAGGGTTGTTTCCAGAGGCACTCCATTTTTTTCTGATCAAGCTATTGCCACTTTTTTTTCCCTTTTGTAAGGGCTCAGTTAGTTGAGTGACTTAATGACCAGATCAACAAGCTCTGTGAACTGCATGTTGATTGGCTGAGCTACCATTTTTTGCTGGCTTGATTCCATCAAGTTTGTCCTATAATTTAATTTGGCATCAAATTGCATTTCCTGATGCTTTGATAACCACACCACAATGTCAACCCTCAGGTGTCTAACTGAAAGATGTATTTTATTCACAGGTAACATAATGTGTATGTAAAGTCATTTATCATCCTCGAGGCTCAAAACCTTTATGTGTTACTGTATCACTTTGCACCATTTAGCCTTATTGTGGAGAATTAGAGAGTTCCGATTTTGATTTATTTACTGAAGTTTCAATTTACAATACTGAACTATTTTACTTCAGTTGAACCTTGATTCTTAAGTGTACATTCATTTAAGAATGTTTAGCAATACTAGTTATTATACAAATGTACAATATTTACTTCAATTTCAGTCATTAATATTACATTTCTCTATGGTCTTCTTTTTCATGGTATGTATAAATTCCTTGAACATCAAATTAACATTCTAATATTTTGCTTGTCCTTCAGCATAAGATTTAAATTGTATCTTGTTTTGTTTTACAGATAAAGTGAAAGCCTTCCGTTCAGCTCTTCAGGAAGAAGAGCATGCTAGTAAGCAGATAAATCCCAAACGACCACGGGCTATTTGATTTTCAGATACATGCTGAGGAATAACTGATTCACTAAATCCTTATCACTGAAACTCTACTAATGTCAAGCTATCGTTAGCAGAACTCAATCACTGGAATGCTAAAAACTCTTGGAACTACATCAACTTCCTATTACTTTACTTGAATAACTTTCTTCTGGACAACACACTCCCATGGTATTGCAACTAAACAAATGCTTCTAATCCAACAGCACAAATTCACAGGGTTAGGACTTCATGAAGTACTTTATTTGAAACCTTTCTGGTTTACCGAGAAGCTTTTGTCAGAAAATCCTTGCCAACTTTTTTTTAATGTATCAAAAATACTGTGGAAACAATGCTTTTAGATACTCTGTATTTTTTTATTTTTTAATTGATGTGGTTATGTTTTGTTGCCATAGTTGGCTGTACAGTTTTCAAGTGTTCGCATGCATGACTCATGAGTGGTGTAAAGTACCTTTCCAATAGATCTGACTGAACTCATTCTTTTCTTTGTGCCTTCCAAGAATCTAAAATCTTCAAACTGACAGATGTCCCAACCAACCACAGGCACAACCATTACTTTAATAAAATGCATTCCTCGTTTTCTGTGTGAATTAGTTATTGTACTGTATAATTTTGTTTTGATTGTAATTTTGAGCCATCCTTTATCTAGTTTATTACATTATTTCACAAAATGTGCCATATCATTATTGTGTTTAAATGACAATTGGTCTTAATGTTATGGTACATGGTACAGTTTGACATTCCACACATACATAATTTATCAACAAAGTCTTTGTTAGTATAGCTTTTTTACAATCCACATGGATTTCTTCTTTTGATTACTGTAAAATGCTTTCTACCATCTCATTTTAATGTATGTAGAGTGAGTGTATTAAAAAATAAAATTAACTTGGAACAGGCTGTATTTCAAATGGAAGGTCAGTACATGCACTTAAATGTTAAGGTTAAATTAAAATTAGAGTGAGATTCAATTGGAAAAGTTTCATATTAAAGTTATAATGTGAGTGACTTACATTTTCCATATGTAAAAGCTCAAAAGAAAATGGTGACAGTGACTTTTAATACAAACTGCTGCTTTTGGAGCAATGGTTAGTGCATAGAAAACTTGCAAATTGAGTGAACTGTTTACAGTGTTAATGTTTCACACTGTTCAAATAAGCAGGGATTGAGGTCACTGTGGACAACAAAAGTTAAAGAGCATTGTTTAAGAATTGCAGACTGCTGTCATACCTTTTTAGATTCCTTTAACGGATTTCTGTTGAGAATCTCTTCCTCCAGTATCCTTGACTTCAAATTTTCTCACTGAAAGTTCATTTCAAATTTGTATTTAAAATTTAGTATTAAAATAACATGATGTAAACCATTACATCAGTAGTGTGGTTTTAACATTTTCAGCTAGACAAAAGCAAGCAGTGTGAAAAGTTGATCATTTTCATGTAATCTCATTTTTAATCATTTGTTCATGTCCCATCTGTACATTGACGATGCATATTTTTTTCTCCATTTTGCCAGTTGACCTCCTGCAAACATCAGTAAAATGTTTTTGAATGTGAACAATTAAGTTTAATGCAGCATTCTTCCAACTACTGTAAAGATGTGTGTATTTAATGTCTTGACTAGTACATTGAGGTCTGCACACAATTCATACGTGGATCACATTGTCGGTTGGATTACAACTAGAGAGATTGATAAACTTTTGGAGGGTTTTTGATTGAATAAGTGTGAAGTCAACGAATTGTGGGCATTCCGAAAACGTATATTAGCTGTTTTAGTTTTTGGTGTGAGTAGGGGATAAGATTACTTAATATTAACTGAGGACCGTTAATGACAGCTTAGGGTACATAATGTCAACCAGTCATTTATGGCAAAAAATCTGGAATATTTGAAATCCACGTTACAGAATCAATGGAATAGGGATTGTGTGTCAAATTTCAATTTGAACACATTTTGTGATGTTTTTCTCAAGATTTTCTCATAGTTTCTAAGTAGCTTTTTGTAAAATACCAAAAACATAATTAAAGGAAGCTAGAAACCGATGCATGAGTTTTGAAATATTATTTGTAATAATTCATGTTTGTGAAACAATTTATACGGTAATGTAATATTCCTATTCAGAACTGCATTGGTTTAAACATCATTATTTGTTCCAGATATAGAATCATGAATGTAGAAAGTCAATCCAAGTAGTTAAATTTGTCTTAGTGATGATTGCCTTTTCTTCTGCATTAAAATTATGCTGAATGTTTTATTCCTCTGAAGAGAGCTTATTTACATTATCAGTGAGATATTTAGTAATAAATTTGCTGTTGCTGGATATCAACAGTGCAGGTTACAAATGACTCCGAGTTGATAATTTGCTCACCCCTAATAATTAACAGAAAATCCAGTTAGCCCAAATTAGCATGCAATATTTCTGTTCAGAGGAATATATCACAGATAGGAAAATAATACCATGATAAACAGTAGTGGTATTTTCTGCTGATCATTGGTTCATTCAATTCACTGCTATGTATGGACCCCCACTGCCACCATATCAGTGGCACAAGTACAGTGGCCAACTAGATTTGCTAAGTCACAAAATATTGCAGATGCTGGAAATCTGAAACAAAAACAGAAGTCGCTGGGAACACTCAGCAGGTCAGGCAGCATCTATGGAGAAAGGAAAGTGAGTCAAAATTTTGGATCCACGACCCTTTACCAGAACTGAACCATGTTGGGAGGGAAAGGCTTTTAAGGACTAACGGAGAAGGGGGAGACAAGAAAGACAAAGGAGAAAGTGGCTGTAGAGGACAGTGGATGATGGGTTAAAGAAATGTTAATGATGCAAAACAAAGGGGATTGCAACAAAACAGGATAAGTTATTGCAATCCTTTTCCTGTTTTGCAATCCCCCCCACTTTGTTTTGCATCTGCCTCCCCCCTCTCTGTTAGCCCTTAAAAGCCTCTCCCTCCCAACCTGCCCCAGTTCTGACGAAGGGTCGTGGACCCGAAACATTAACTCACTTTCCTTTCTCCATAGATGCTGCCTGACCCTCAACTATCCTTTCTACTGCACATCTGCGCCATGACCTTCCCCCACTTCCGCAACGTCGCCCGGCTCCACTGTCTCACACCACAGGCCACCGAAACCCTCATACACGCATTCATTACATCGAAATTCGACCATGCAAACTCATTGCTTGTCGGCCTCCCCAACTCCTCCCTCCACAGGCAGCGGATCATCTAGAACTCTGCAGCCTGTGTCCTCTCCCGCACCGGGCTCCGTGACCCTATCACCCCGATCCTCACCCGACTCCACTGGCTTCCCATCACACAGAGGATACAGTTCAAGATCCTGGTCCTCACCTTCAAAGCCCTCCGCGGTCTTGCTCCCCCCTACCTCTCCAACCTCCTAAACCCCTACCATCATGTTCACTCCCTCCGCTCAGCAGGTGCCACCCTCTGGAACTCCAACCTGCAGTCCCTCCGTCTTGCCCCCTCCCTCGCCACCTTCAAGACCCATCTCAAGACCCTCCTCTTCGACAGTACTTTCGATCTTCCTGTTTTTCCTCCCTTGCCCTCCACCCCAACCCCCAGCTCGGGTCCGTAACTCCGTCTGTCCAACATCTTGGGACGTCCTCCCGACGTAAAAGGCACTTTACAAATGTAATTTTGTTGTTGTTGACCTGCTGAGTGTTCCCAGTGCTTTAGATTTGCCAAGAGTTGAATTACTTTCTAGAAAGATGGTCAATTTTGTAATATTTAAACTGATTTCTTAATTAAAAATTTAGTGCAGGTTTCTCCCATTAGCAGGAACCAAGTCAGTAACATGAGGGAACTCACCTCAGCGTTAGAGCCGTGTTCTCCACCAGTCTGCTAAGAGCTTTGATTTCTTAATTAAGAAATAATGCAAAATTGTTGTGATGTTTTTTTCCCCCTTTTTGATGTGATGAATTGGAATAGATACAAGTTAATTGTGACTTAAATGTACATGGTGAAGAGGTCTTGTACTTTGTCAGTTAAAATGCTGAAACAATTATAAATAACTAGAAAACGTAAAACAAAACAAAATCATTGCAACTGACTTGAAAACAGAACATTGTATAAATGGTGCAAAGGAGGTGCTTTCCCCTGGTTTTAAATTGGATTTTGTCCAAAGTACTTCCATAGATCAGCCTGAAGGTCCTCCACTAAATAGCATTGGCCTTAAACCTCAAAAAGTACCTCCTGCAATTGAACTGTGAATTATACCGACAACCTTGATCATCTCTATGAAATTAGTAATTTGGTGCCATATACTGCAAGTACTACTTACTACAGATTGGAAGAGTATCTTAACTGGTTCCAAGTAGAGTTTTTTCTTGAATGGTAATTTGAATCTAACGAGTCCCAGATATAAAAACATTTCTGTGCCGGCTCCCATTGTTTTCACACTGCCTAGCTATCTCTAAAGGATTGTAGAGAACCAGAAAAGATGAACTGTTTGAACACTCCCTCATGTTAGTTACAAGTCCACGTGTGAAATTTGTTGCTCTTCAATTCAAAAGCTTTTTAATTGCAAATTATATGGTTGCTTTTTATTTTGCAGCTAATTTCCTTCCACCATACATTAGTATGGAAATGTGGGTAAACATCTCCACTCACGTGCAGTTGCCTTCCCTCCTTAAAGAAAATATCAGTCTTAATGTTTTGCAGGGAGGGAGATCTGAATAATAATCAGCACTATTATTTTTTTCCTTTTGTCATGCTGCTGACCTAATTCCAGAGTTTTAAACCTTGGAGTGTGTATTGGGGCACTGCTGGAATTTAACCAGCTAAAACCATGTAGTTTGCCATTGAAGCCACTGTCTCAGGCCACCCTGCCTGTTAGGGCTTTGGAATACATGGTTAAACAGGACCTGAGTGGGAAACCCTACTGCCCCCAGTGACCGATCAACAGGACAGACTGATTCAAACTCCAAATATTTTGGATTGGGTATTGCTCCATGTTAAAATTTTTAGTCTTATTTTGTGTGAAATACATATTCCAAAACACAGATATACCAACTATACATGAAAGTTGTAGTTTATTTTACAAATTGTATAATACAGGAAAGCATTTTAGGTTAAACATACTGAGATACCAATTGTACAATTTTGAGATATCTGCTTTTTACAGTTATTTAAAAAATATTTTGCAAACTAAGCAGCAAGATATACTTGACACTGTTGAATCTGTATGTCTGCTGGAGCTTAAAACAGGTTAAACCTCATTGAAAAGATTGTGAATGTCTTCTGCTGCTAGAAAGTTCGTTCTTTCATAAGTAGAACTTCACACACAAGTCTTCTAAGAAAAATGGATTCCTTGTGAATTAAATGCATGGAGTAACCTACAAGAAAGAAAAACAAGAATTTAACTTTTAAAAGAAAACCTTCCTTGAGCAGCTCAAACTTAAATGCAGAAAATGGGTATGAGCAAAATTTATGTAAATCCTTTTTGGGATTTGGACCACCCTATTCATTATCAACAACAACTTGGATTTATATAGTGCCCTCCATGCCGGACGGGGTCTCAAAGAGCTTGGATGGCTTTGGTTTACAAAGTTGAGAACATGTTTACATTTTGAACACAAAACAAGATTCAGATGAAGACCCTTCAGCCCATTTTAATCTCATTCTTCCAAAATACCCGGGCTATCTTCTTATTACACCACTAAGCAGTTTCTAAAATGAATCTTGTGGTTCTGACCTCTGCCAATCTTTCTGGAAATACATTCCAGCTGTTAATTCTCTTTTGTGTAAAGAAATGCTATCTGGTATCTGTCCCAATATTGCACTTCACAACACCTTCCCTTACAACTTGGCATATTTGAAATATTGTTATGGGTTATTTCATTTCCATTTAACATCATACACACCTCAGAAATCCAAGTGAACTTTTTTAAAAAAAAAGTCAAAACCCTAGCTGAACCAGAATGGCTAGTTTAATCACAAATAATGCCTTGGCTTCCTGCAGACCTCCCTGCCTTTACAGGCTTTCTATTTCTATTCCTATTCTGTGCCTCCCTGGCCTAAAGCATGAAAGCTAATAATAGAAGTAAGAATTTGATATACACTGCATGAAAGGGCCACAATCAATTGAGATGTTTAAAAGAAATAGATATTGGGTAAGTGAGGACATTAAGAGATGTAACAAAATGTCAAGGATTAGAATTAAAACAGATTTGCAATCCTGGCTGATGTTAGCTGACTAAAAACATGTTTGAATGCATTGTACTGTACCGCACTAGCATTGGGAAGTGTATTGATTTTTACCATAGACCTCTAAGTGTTCAACAACAACAACAACAATTTGGTACTGTCTCAGAGTGCTTATCAATCTTTGATGAGAATAGATAAATGTGACTGACGAACAAATGATGCTTCAGCCTGATTCAGTTGGTAGCATTCGTCCTAGAGTCAAAAGATTGAGGGTTGAAGCCCCAGTCTGGGACTTTGAATTCAGTTTGCTGTGCTTTGGATAAGATGTTAAAACAAGGTCCCTTCTGACTGCTCCGATGGATAGCCAAGATCACGTGGCACGATTTGAAAAGAGAAGGGAATTCCTCTCAATGGCCTAGCCAACAATCCTCCACAAATAAAATTGGTCAATCACCTCATTGTTGTTTGTGGGACAATGCTGTGCATAAATGAGCTGTGTTCACCCACAAAAGATAGTTGCACTTTACAATATATCCTGTGAAGCGTTTTGGGATGTCCTCCCACCGTGAAGGCGCTCTACCAAATGTAAGGATTATTATTTACTGTCAAAATTCTGTTTCTATGGAAGTGCCAAACACAATGTACCTTTCTCTGAGTTATGTTTCATATTACCTCACTCAACAATATCTTTGGTCACCATCTCAAAATCTAATTTTCATTTGTTAACCACGCAAGTCATTCTTTTACAATGAAGTGGTGACTGGACAGGTGCCATGCAATTATATGGATTTCGAAATTACCCAAAGTTCATTAGTGGCACCATCTTTCTGTCACTCTGCGCTGCCTCTCCTCTCAGAATATGCTGATAGCAAACAACACTGTGCTGTCTCACTTTATTATGGAAACCATTTCTCCCAGAATATTGTATGTCCAACCAGAGTTGGCAACCCTACTCATATGGTCAACCCCTCAACCAAAGCAATTATCTAGATACTAATTATATAGGTACGAATTAATTCAACTGGCTATCTTTATGCAATGAAGCAAATTATGCGATTATCCGATATGCATTAGAGCAGAGTGTCATTACTATGCAAACAATTTTTAGTATCTAGAAATTGCTATACACTTAAATGGAGTATGCAATTTATGGAATTACATGGAGTGCACTGTACCTGAAAGGCTTTAAACAATAACAGTTGCTGATGAGTAATAGAGAAGTCTGGTAATGGTGAACTGACCTTCCAGTTTATTTTTAAAAATCCCTGAGTTGCTGAATTCCTAATTTCAGCCATGGGAAGATGTGGGTGGAGAATCCTCGGGTTGTTTTCAGTACAGAAGTCCATTCTGCTCACTGTTTGTGTCACTGCTACTTGTTTTTCTAAACCTTGGAATAGCGTCTTTCATGCCAAGAGGACATCCCAAAGTGCTTCACAGAATATACTGTAAAGTGTAGCGTTTGTATATTTCGCTGTTGAACATATATTTTATGAAGCATAGTTAGAAGAGCCCAGCTATAAGATGGTAGTTGGGATCCATAAAATCCCAACCAGTGTTCTAATGGGGTGATTCCAGTCAGCACTTCACCATCCACCAACTTCACCATTCATCAGGTTGTTGCCTATTTCGGCATTTTGGATTTATTTAGGTAAATAAATAAAATTAACATTTATATACGTAAACTCCTGATAACTCGTCAGGGGAAAAGGGGTCATGGACAAGTTATATGGAGTGGCGGCTTAGGCATATGTAAATTCTCAGCAGAGGCTAATGTATGAGAGCTGGTGAACCTTTCAGCTCGAGAGCAACAATTGCAAAGGTCTGCAGATGGTTGGCTAACCATAGCCTAGTTACAAATTGGCAGGTTGTGCATGGGATGGTTTAACAATAACATTACATATGCACCTGTAATCTCCACCCATAAATAGGATTAACTTTGGAGCAGTTTCAAAATTGAACTTCTCCAAGTCTTATAAATTTTATTTTTCCTCCTGCCATTCAGGCATTTGTCAGAGGTCAGGCATTTACAAAGGTAAATCTTTGTGATTAGCATATCAATGAAGAGGTTTGGTTGGCAAGGGCTGTGGTTTTTTAAAAAAAACAAGCAGACAAAAACACAAACCTGAAGTTTCAGATAGAGCTACATTTTACCTCATAAAGTCATCCATATCCATGGTTCGGGCCCGGTTTTCATTGAAGTCATTTTCCTTAAGAATATTCTGGATCTTTTCAGTAATACTGAAATTTTCTGGAATTTGCTATTAAGAAACAGATATTTGCATTAACTGCAAAAACAACAACTTGCATTTATATAGTGCCCTTCACACGGGGTAGCGTCCCAGAACCCCAAGTAGTACATGGGAAAATTAAGCATTAAATTCACCAGATAGTTTCAAGCCATTTCTTCTTCCCCTGGCCCTGATATACTGAAGACATTAATGGCATCCCTACAAAATTTATCTCTCAAATTCAATTTAATTGGCTACTCATTGCCATTTATAGGACGTTGCTGGCACTACTTTTGCCTATTCCAACATTCATTTTTATTTCTAATCAATTAATCAAATCTCACACATTTACACACTGACAAATAAGGCTTTGTTAAATGATTCGACTAAGCTAAAGAATTGTGCACTGATGGGTTCTGCCCACAAAATACAGTCAATCCACTTCATAGTATATCCTGTGAAGCGCTTTGAGAGTTTCGATCATGTGATAAGGTGCTAAATCAAATGTAAGAATTATTATTTATTATAAAGAACTAGTTCAGAGACAAATTACTTTTAAATCAAATTGAGCCCTTCTATTTAGCAATGAGTAAAATATGTGTTAAAATAATCTACAATGCAGTGAGATTATAATGCACTTCACAATAGAGCAAATTCACTTACAATGATGTTGCACTCTGAATCCCATTCATTTTGCATACACATAACTGGCCTACTCTCTTTCCATGCACTGGCTGGTCTTTTGGACTTTAATGGCCAACCTCTGGGTCATTAGGTCATTGTCAATTCTTGCTTTGTTCACAAAGCAGGAAGTCACGTTGAAGTGACCTGATGTCATCTTTACCTTCAGCTAGCGCAGGAACTAGCTACTGGTTGTACACATTTGCAGCCAAATCTGCTACCAATCACACCTCACTGTTATGCAGGACAAAATTCATAGATCCTAAACATTTTGTTAAGAGTGGGTCTGCACTGTAGTGACCATACTTACAATATTGTGTAAAGAGCAGTGAATTCTGTAGTTTTTCTCCAGCAATTGTTCAACTGCACTGGATCTGTGAATAACCACATTGACCATATTAAGAACACAGCATTCAAAAGAACACAAAATATACAGGAAGTCTCAATAATTACACATCAAATGCACCACAAAGCAAGAGGGCACTGAAAGTGAAAACTCAACTATTATTTTAAACTTTACACTAAAATAGTTAGCCACAACAGTTGACATAATGCCACAATACAAACTATTGGGCAGGAATAAGGTATTCAGTCCCAGAGTTTGTGTATGACAAGAGCCAAAATGCGTTCAACAGATAATTGTTTTCAACCCCCTCATAATGAACTGGATTTCTATACTTACTTAAATGCTGCACTTAATGTCTTGTTTTTTCTCACAAATGCTATCCTGACAAGACCATCCCATTCCTAATAATGAAAAAAGTTTTACATGAATAGGAAGCATTATTATAATAATGTCAATTTTATGTAATAATGATTGGGTATATCTAGAACCAACAGCCAGAGGTCATGTAGCAATGGAGCTTAATAACTTACTATTTGTCCCAATTTTACAATCAAGCACTTAGTTTATTGGGTACACCTGCCAGAAAAGGTATATTTGTGTCAAAGATAGGGCAATCCAATCATGGTCTCCACAATTCTTTACAGCACCCAATACACTGCCAAGTGAAGGGAGATATGTTCCAGTTTGTGATAACTCACATTGTCAGCTTCTAATCACAGCTGTATCACAATAGAGACTCAATTATTTGCACTAATTGGGAATGGGCCCATTGTAAAAAGCAAACAGGAGTGGGCCAACTCCCAATTATGCTAACTCTTCCCCGACTACAAAAGTATAAAACTAACTGTGCTATTAGCAAAATATCCAGTTGTGTACATGCATAAAGTTTTGTACAAGGTTACCATCAACACAGTTTTAGTAAGTTTGGTTGCGAGCTCACAGCTGACTTTTTCCAACGCTAAATTTATGTGATACTGGCAAAAGATACTGTCAAAAAAAAATTGGTTGTGTGCATGTATACACATGCGTGGAGTCCTGTAGCTCAGTGGTTAGAGCACTCACTTTGTAAGTGAGAGACCTGAGTTCAATTTCAGGCAGGTCAGGGCGAAACCTTGGGCAAGTTTCCTTACTCCACACACCTAATAATAATCCCTCCAAAAACCAAAACAATAATTAAATTGGTCATTTTCAATCTACGACTGTTTGTGGGACATTGCTGTGCGCAATTGGCTGCCACGTTCGCCCACAAATATACAGTCAATTCATTTTACAGTATATTCTGTGAAGCGCTTTGGGACGTCCTCCCGACGTGAAAAGCACTATATCAAATGCAAGGATTATTATTATTATACATGGCTACTCGTGACACAAATTACTAGTAAATTCCAAGCAATGTAATATTGGTAGGAGACCTGGAGCAAAAAAAAGGGGATAAGTCAAGAAAAGTTTCTATAAATTTATTCCACTAAACTAAAATTTATTCAGCGACTTTTAACATGGATCTCTTTGTCACCTGGAAGTTCACTGGTGGAGGTGGAATCTTTGGTTCAATTCTAACCACACTGGATTCAACTTTTGGAGGTGGCCTGAAGTTGTTTTTTCCAACCTAAATCACAAAGAGCATTCAGATAAAGATTTCCTCAGTCTTATTAAATCAATTTGCTTTCATTCTTACAATATTGATATACATTGCTACTAACAGAGTACAGTTCCAGGAACCTTAACCACGACACAGGGCAAAACCTTGGGCAAGTTTCCTTACTCTACACGCCTAATAATAAACCCTCCAAAACAAAACAATAATAAAAAATTGGTTATTTTCAATCGATGACTGTTTGTGGGACACTGTTGTGTGCAATTGGCTGCCACGTTTCGCCCACAAATATACGGTCAATTCACTTTACAGTCTATTCTGTGAAGCGCTTTGAGACGTCGAGAAGATGTGAAAAGATGTGAAAAGCGCTATACAAGGATTATTATAATATTACAATTGTGAGTCTACCTGTCTAATTATCAAGATAGTGCCCTTTTTGTCTACAAAAGCAGCAATCATTTTGGAGTTCTGTAGTGCAGTGGTTAGAGCATTCACCTTGTAAGCGAGAGGGCTTGAGTTTTGAGTTTTATAGATACATTCCCAGGCGAGATGAAACCTTAGGCAAGTTTCCCTATTTCACACCACAGCAGTAAATAGGAACCCAATTGTTAGTCGATTGGTGGATTGCTTTCCGGGGGTAACAATCCTTCAAAAAAAATTGGTCACTCAATCCACGACTGTTTGTGGGACATTGCTGTTTGCAATTGGCTGCAGAGTTTCGTCTACAAAATAGTCAATCCATTTTACAATATATTCTGTGAAGTGCTTTGAGGAGTCTGAACGACGTGATAAGGCGCTATATCAAATACAAGGATTATTATTATCAGCTAACTCAACAAGAATAAATCTGGATCTTCTTGTCTGAAAGACTCTGTAGAAGTATACATATTGCACTTAGATTTACTCAGTGTGTTTTTATACAGTAGAATTTTATGTTACCTTCATCAGGTGATCTACACGTGCCAATAACTGTGTGTTAATTGAGAGTCTGCAGTAAAGTTTATCTCCTGGTTTTGCAACAAGTCGAAGGGCAAATTCCCGCTGGAACATCAACACTGCACACCTGGGTTGGAGAAGAGAGAAGGGAATGCATCAATAAAGAACAAGAGCATTACAAGAAGAAATCTTACTTAAAACGGGGAGAAAAAGCAAGCAATGAACAATCAAACTCAGAAGTGGTCCATTAGATGACAACAGTAAAATAGTCGATATTGGAGCAAGAAATCCCAAATGTTTTAAATGGAACAATTAATTACACAGCACACTGATCAATTTGTCTGGAATGGACTGCTCTCTCACCAGAGGGATGCACTCTAGTCACCTAATCCTGGGATGCATTAGGTACAGGTTGGTAAAACTGATATTGCACAAGACCCTGGTTATACCCCATCTTATATATAGCATTCAATATTGGTTAACAAACTCCAAGAAGGCTATTATTGCCCCTGAATGTACATACAAAGATGACTAGTTCAAGATATAAAATTGTGAGTAAAGGTTAAAAAGATTGAGTTTGCTCACTATGTTTTGGTCATTTTGTTTCCTAAGAGGGGAGGCAAAAATGACCTTCTCCCATGACTAATGTCCTACATTGCAAAACACATTTTCTAATTCAATAATTCTCCCCCCTATCTAAATGAAATCTAGAATGATAGACTATACTGAGCACTTTGTAATACAGACTTGCACCTCTGAAAGAATAGAAACACTTAGGTGCAACTTCTGAAAAATAAAACGTTATTTAGATTATTTTATCTATGCTGAGTCTCCATTTCTAATCCCCGAATTAACCACATTTAAATAATGCTCCTATGCAATTGCTGCTAACTGATCCCATGTGTTCATTAATTTCTATGCAATTATCCTGCAACAGCTATCATCTATGGAATACCATTACTTGCATCAATGAATGCCAATAATTCCCCCAAACATTCTCACCTGAAGAATGGCCTGTGCAGTAGCAGTTTAAAAACAAATGGAGAAGATATCTGCAAAGAACACCACACAAATTCAGTTCACAATTCACCACATACAGTATAATCAAGAAATCTCTTATTACACCTCTTGATTAAGCATACAAACCAGGAAGGTTCTAGATTCAATCTCTGGTATTTGCAGAGTTAGTTGATTTCAACAGATGGACCTGCAGGATGTGACAATTAGTTTCAGTGTCCCTATCCTCAGGGAGTAGAGAGGGCAATATTAGCCTTAGTTCACAGTCCTGTCCTTGGTTGGAAAATACATAACAATATGTACAAGCACAGAGCAATGACAAGTAGACACACACTACCAAAAGTCACAGGTACAGAAATGAGCACTCAGGTGAGGTATTGACAAGCACCTGAAAAAATGCAGGATCAAGAAAGTGGGAAAGGGCAAAGGGAAAAACTCAAGTCCAATATTACAAAGCATTGCTAGTTTTTGGAAATTAATCAATTTCTTATCAAATTCTAGTGGCTTAGAGGCTCAATCTTTGTTTTTATTTGTATTCAGTTTTTCATATGTTGAACAGGATCTATTGTGCAGAGTATATTTACTAAAGTATTTAATCCAGAACATCTAACAGCTTTTTAAAATAATGCATTCTCTACAATATTTTCCAGCTTGTGTGGTCTTGGCCCTGACAGATCAGTAATGCTGCCAACAAGCCTGTAATCAGGCTCCAGATACCCCTAGGCACACATTCTTCTCCCCACTCTGATTATCCTCTTTCCTTATGGTGAGGCACTGCAGCCTCAATCACATCACAGCAGGGATTACATTCAAAAATAATAATCCTAGTATTTTATATAGCGTTTTATCACATTATCAAAATGTCTCAAAGCTTTTCATAGCCACCCAATTTGTGCATAGCTCTGGTTCTTCACTTCATGACTGTTTGCGGAGAAATGTGGGTCAGGACACCATGAGAAACTCATTTAATTTCAAATAGTGCTATAGTTCAGTGATTAGAGCACTCGCCTCACAAGTGAGAGGACCTGGGTTCAACTCCCAGCAAGGCAAAACGTTGGGCAAGTTTCCTTACACCACATACTTGTTTATCTAGCAGTAAGTAGGAACCCAGTTGTTAGTCGATTGGCGGATCCCTTTTCCAGGGGTAATAATTCCTCAAAAATAGTGATAATAAATTGGTCACTTCAATCCATGACTGTTAGTGGGTAATTGGTGTTTCACCCACAAAATATACAATCCATTCACTTAACAGTATATTCTGTGAGCCTTTTGAGATGTCTCGAAGATGTGATAAAGCGTTATATCAAATGCAAGGATTATTATATCCACCTGAACAAGCAGACAGGACCTCAGTTTAACGTCTCATTCAAAGATAATGCAGTCCTTGACGAGCACAATCTGACACCCATACAATATTTGCAATCCCCTTAGTGTTAAGGTTTAAAACCACAAACATGCAGCAGCACTGTGCTATTCTGAAAGGTTAACTTACAAGTCATTTGAAAAATAAGTTACCTGATATGGTAAATTGGCTACACATGTATCAAAGAATGGCAAGTCTGTCTTCAGTACATCACCAACCATTATTTGAAGTTTGCTTGCCATAGGCCTGAGAACAATACATATTTTAAAACAAAGATTAAGGATGAAACAGCAATCAATATTTACAATGTATAAAATTTACATTGATATAAGATGTTCTTTGGTAGTAATTGAATTTGTCTGGTATGGTGAGTTCAATAAAGTGATAACATTACTTACGTGCCCTGAACCCGCTTTTGCAGCTCAGCAACAAGTCTGGGATCAAATTCACAAGCAACAACCTATCATAAAGCATAGTTCCACATTATTCTATTAATGCAACCAAACTGTGCAGTGTTATACCAGTCCAACAAATTCAGGCAGCTTATATAACAGTACATAAGACTATCTATATGGAGCACAACAGGTCAAACGATTGAGCATTTAGGTCATGCTCACCAACTAGGGACTATCCTCTGGAGATGACGTGGGGGATGCAAATGTGACCAGATACCCTTCAGAAATCGGTGCGTCCTCCAGGGAGAGTGCACATTCCATTCCAGAACCAGGGAAATTCCCATGTTTAGGTGGCATAGATGGCATATATCTGGGGAACTCTATCTAATTTGGATACTCCTATGCACGTATCCCACCATTTGGAACTCCAACCCAGTCACTTTCACCTCCCTGGTCTCCTACAAGGCTAGTCTCAAGACCCTCTACCAAGCCTTCGATCACCCTGCCCTCCACTCCTCCTCATCCCACCCTCAGCTCGGTCCCAAATACCCTTGGGACATCCTCCTGACGTGAAAGTCACTATATACAAATGCAATTTGTTGTTGTTGTATCAGGCAAGCAGCTGATAGTACAAAACCCTCCTTCCTCAGTTGAAATCTTGGTAGCTGAGCAGTAGCTGATTTAGCAAATGGTAATGAAGGGGCAAAAGAAGAAAAAAACACTACCATGGTTTCATGTCTCAATTGGATTTTGCTTCCTAGTCACCATCAAGATAACAACAATAATTCTTACATTTGATATTGCAGCTTTCACACTGGGATGGCTTCTCAAAGCACTTCACAGGATTCTACTGGATAGTGTAATTACTGCATATTTTTGGAGGCAAATGTAGCAACCAATTTGTGCACAATATCCTACAAACAGCCATAAAGAGAATAAACAATCTTATCTGGGGAATTGATGGCTAGGACACCAGTAGAAGCTTCCTTTCCTTTTCAAATAATGCTATGGTCTTTAACAACAACAACAAAATTACATTTGAATAGTGCCTTTCACGTCGGGATGACGTCCTAAGATGCCAGACAGTCAATGTCCACCTAAACAAGCAGAAGGGATCTCTGTTTACTATCTCATTTGAAATATGGCATCACCAACAATAATAGCAACTATGAATGGGTCAGACAATTCTATACTTTGGGCAGAGGTAGCTGTATAGTAGAACGACAGTTCAATGGAAACAAAATTGAAAGTTGAATATTTTTATACTATCCACTTGTAATAACCTTTTTGCCTTTTTCCAGAAGTTTCACAGTCATGTTACCAGTACCGGATCCAACCTCCAGTATGACATCTGTTGGTCGAATAGCAGCCTAGAATGAATATTAGAACATCAAATGTTAGAATTGATTCAAAAATAATTATTCATTCCTGTGTATTTCAAGACCTCCTTGTGGCCTGACCTGGTCAATTTAAGCACTTTCCTATAACCAAAGAAAAATTGGCTAATCATATTCAAAATATCAACCAATCCTGTTCATGATAGACTAATGCCAAGTTTATCTTATGTAAAGTTGATCAAACTAGGAATGGGAATGGAACCAAAACCTCATACAGTTAAACATTAGTTACAAATACCAATGGCATGTCAAATTAATACACCAGAAACAACGCTGGACAAACAGAGTTATGGACCCGGAGGGTGAAGGGCGGGGGGGGGGGGGGGAGAGAAGCTGGGAGAACGAAAAATAAAGGTCTAGGAAGCAGAATGTCAGAAAGATGAAATCACCTATCTTTCAGTCTCTTAAGAAATTTGTTATGCTTCTGTCTAATTCCAGCACCAAGCTTAATTGTGCACATCATCATCTCATTACCTACAAATGGTAACCAGAAAGTTAGACAATATTGCTCCACACAATGCAAATTTACATTTATATAGCAGCTTTTGTGTTGGGAGCAAGTCCTAAAGTGCTTAAAGCTGGCCGGGCATCCAAGTTGGGAATGGGAGCTGAGGGGAAGCGAGGATAAAGATGACCGAAAACATGGTAAAAAAGGTAAGTCTTGAGACAGACCTTGAACAAAGTGAGGGAAAGAGGGAGTCTGAGGGATTCCAGGGTGGAATTCCAGAGAATGGGGCAGATAGGCAGAAAACCAGCCGGCCGATGGTGGGGAACAAGAAACAGGCTGGTACTCACTGAGCAAAGGGAATGGTTGAGCCAGTAGAGTTTGAGGAGGTTAAAGAATTAGAGTTGGGTGGGACCATGGAGGATTTAAAGGTGATAATAAGAGTCTTGAACTTGATCTTTTGGGGGATGGGAAGCCAATGGAGGATTGGGGCGATAGACTTGGAGCCTGAGGTCAGTGACTCCACATTTTTGTCATCTTGCTGCCACAGGGCACTTTCCCTTTTATGAAAGAATTGAAACTCCATTTATACATAGATGTATAATGGAAAAGTCAGTCAAACTGTAATTCGTTTTTAACGAATTCTACATGACAGAATTGACAACTCAAAAGAAAGCTTTATGGATTAGACTGATTAAACAGTGTAAGTTAACAACTAATTTCGCAATTCTGTACCTTCTCAATGATACTGTTCACAATCAAAGGATTCTTCAGAATGTGCTGACCAATCCTAGTGTTGAACACAATACCTATGCCAAGGAAAAAAAGGTTAAATCACAGTAGTTTCTGAGCACTCAGGGAGACGAATAGAATACCATGTAATAATGGTTATTACTCCACATCCCCCGCCCTACCATCGGTGGCCTGGCCTTCAGCCTCTCAGCCCCTAGGCTCTGGAACTCCATCCCCCAGTGCCTTCGCCGCTTCCTCCCTTTCCTCCTTCAAGGCCGGTCTCAAGACCTTTCCCTTTGACCGTGCCTTCAGCTCCCCTCTCGACTCTCTACCCCCTCCTCACTCCCTCCCTTCCCTCCCCTCACCCTGACCATTTCCCCCCTGCTCGGGTCCCGACCCAACTGTCCAGCGCCTTGGGACGTCCTCCCGACGTGAAAGGCGCTCTATAAATGCAATCTTGTTGCTGTTGTTATTTCACTATATTGAGCTTTAAGTATTTCTTTAAAAAAGATCCAGTTCCATGTGGAAGTATACATACTTCAGGTGGTCACTCTCTAGACACCTGTAATGTACTGCTCGATTATTCTACAAAAAACAATTATTTCTGAAGGAAAGGACATACAAGGAATCTCCTGATAAGACTCTGTCTTAACTTGTCACTACCAGTTAAGTCGCTATGCTGTTAATATCCCAGCACCTCTCATGCAAAATGTTAAGCAGAGTGACAAGTAAAGGATTCCCCTTTACTTGTCACTCTGCTTAACAACTTAAGTTGCATTTTAGAAATTCTTGCAAGTACAGCACTCAGATGCCTCACAGAGATCTCTGGTCTATTGGAGGGCTGTACCTTGGCCTCCTGCCCTGCCTTCCATCCTATCCCGTCCCTTCCAATAAACCAGAGGCCTCTGCGATGCATGCGCGTCCAACCGCCGCCGAGTGCTTGCACCAGTCACACCTTGTGGTCCGGGATGATCTATGCCTAACTAGCCACTCCAGATAACGAGTCACTGAACCCTTTTCACTTGGAGGGACGAGTTATCAGGGGTTTACTGTATTCAAAATTGTTCCATATCCATTTGTGTTAAAACAAACTGGTAGATTGGTATGCACAACATTGATTGCAAGTAAAACTTGTCAGGTCAGCTCATTCAAGAAGGAAATAGATATCTATAGTATTTCACAAAGAAATTAATTGAAGGGTGCAAGATTACCCTGAGAATACTATGTATAATGTTATCTTACTTTAGAACTACCAAGAGGAACTGTAATGTTTTTTCGGTCTTGTGGTTTGCTAGGTTATATTTCCCTAATATAACCTAGCAAACCACAAGACAGAGGTGCTCTGATTTAAGAAATGTGCCCTTTTATTCTGCCTAATCATACTGAAATGGTTTAAAGCAGTTCACAAATAATTATGGTCAAGTGCAAACACTTCCTTGGCTGACAGATGCAACAGCCATTTGCACCAGTAAGGTTCCACAAACAGCCATGAGATCACAGAATAAAAAAATTATACAGTACAGAAGGAGGCCATTCAGCCCATTGTGTCTGTGAATAGAGCTATCCAATTCAATCCCACTCCCCCACTCTCTGAATGAAATCAGACATGAATTACAACAATTCATATACCATTGCCAATTGGTTTGTAGGAGGCATGTGCAGTGGTAGAGTAAGACTACAAGAAGTGTTCAGAACCATAGTACTACACTCTCATGTCAGTTGTTACCTTTCTAAATTATATATATATTAAAAAACTAATACAATACAGTGTAATAAAGTTGAGGTAAGCAAGCAATTTAAGACTGTAACCACAAAGCAAGTGGGAATAAATATAAATTTACATCCTTAAAATCAGCTTAGAAGATGTACTTCTCAATAGATATGTGGTACAGAAAAAGAGGGTGAATACGCTATCTTTAATGCATCCGTTGAAAAAGGGGTTCAAGTATAAAAAGGATAAATTGCAACACTTTTGCTGGATTCATTGGAAATTAGGTACGGCTGTCACACTGTGACTGTGTAGTAGTTGTGCAAGGTATGAGGTGAATGGCCTTTCCCCCGGTCAGGGTTGTTCTCGCCTCTGGATGCTATCTTTGTCCCTTCCTTCCCCATCTTCAGGTCGCACCTGAAGACCTTCCTCTTCAACCGTGCATACGGTCACCGCTCACCTCCCCGACGTTGTGCTCCACTACTGTGAAGTGCTCAGGGAGGGACACTACTCTACATGAGGGTCACTATAGAAATGCAAGTTGTCGTTAGCCTCAATCTGCATCAGAAATACCAAACTCTGGTACCGCACTACAACATGTGGGTCAATCCTGTTCTGGGGTCCTGTCAGCCGCAGTATTGTTTTTTTTTTAAAAAAAATAGATGATCTTGTTTTTATACACAGCCAAAAAAATACAACAAATATAAATGATTCCTTCATCGTCTGGCAGTGCCACCGGCTCCTGATTGGACCTCACCTCACCCCCAGCCCCAGGCCAGGCTCTGGCCGACTCTCACCTCACCCCCAGCCCCAGGCCAGGCTCTCACCTCACCCCCAGCCCCAGGCCAGGCTCTCACCTCACCCCAGGCCCAGGCCAGGCTCTGGCCGACTCTCACCTCACCCCCAGGCCAGGCTCTCACCTCACCCCCAGCCCCAGGCCAGGCTCTCACCTCACCCCCAGCCCCAGGCCAGGCTCTCACCTCACCCCCAGGCCAGGCTCTCACCTCCCCCAAGCCCCAGGCCAGGCCTCTCACCTCACCCCAGCCCCAGGCCAGGCCTCACCTCACCCCCAGCCCCAGGCCAGGCTCTCACCTCACCCCCAGCCCCCAGCCCCAGGCCAGGCCCTCACCTCACCCCCAGGCCAGGCTCTCACCTCACCCCCAGCCCCAGGCCAGGCTCTCACCTCACCCCCAGCCCCAGGCCAGGCTCTGGCCGACTCTCACCTCACCCCCAGGCCAGGCTCTCACCTCACCCCCAGCCCCAGGCCAGGCTCTCACCTCACCCCAGCCCCAGGCCAGGCTCTGGCCGACTCTCACCTCAAGCCCAGGCCAGGCTCTGGCCGACTCTCACCTCACCCCCAGGCCAGGCTCTCACCTCACCCCAGCCCCAGGCCAGGCTCTCACCTCACCCCCAGGCCCCGGTGACTCCCCGCCGGCTCTCTGCTCTCACCTCACCCCCGGCCCCGGTGACTCCCCGCCGGCTCTCTGCTCTCACCTCGCCCCGGCCCCGGTGACTCCCCGCCGGCTCTCTGCTCTCACCTTGCCCCCAGGCCCCGGTGACTCCCCGCCGGCTCTCTGCTCTCACCTCACCCCCCGGCCCCGGTGACTCCCCGCCGGCTCTCTGCTCTCACCTCACCCCCCGGCCCCGGTGACTCCCCGCCGGCTCTCTGCTCTCACCTTGCCCCGGCCCCGGTGACTCCCCGCCGGGTCGCTCCCTCTTCGCCCTCTTGACTTTCGGCATCTCGAGCCGCCGAACCTTCCAGAGAATTAAACGGATAAAACCCAACGGCCGCCGGCACGTGGCTCTCGCGGATCAGCGGCCGGACCACGGGCGGCGAGTGCGCGCGGAGGCTTCTGGGTCTTGTAGTTCTTCCGCGCACTTCACCACCTCCCGCTTCCAAACGCCCCCGTGTTCCAACTGATGTGCTAAGTGGGAAATCAGATTGTCTGCGCACCAAAAGCTGTGGGAACCATCAGAGGTCACATCGCACGGGACCTGTAGACATCATCTAACTGATGGCGTGAACTACATATCCCAGGGTGCGTGGCGCGAGAATCGCTTGGTCGCGCGGGAATGACGTTGCCGTGGGCGTGAGGGCCAGGAGAACACGAGCTGCGCCACCTGCAGGAGGACCGCTCACAACACACCCAGAACCCTGCACAGTGTGCAGAGTCCCTCCCAACCCGATCCTTGTTTAGTTTTGTTTTGTTTTGTTTTGTTTTGTGTAGCCAGTTGTCTGACACATGCGGAAACCATCACCATATTTAATAGTATCAAAATCAAGCTGAGATGTCTATGCATCTCACGGTATTTGCAGACTTTCAACTCACAAGTCTAGACTGACACTTTTTATGGTTCTGTTACAAAGGCGTCAACCAGAGGGATATGGGAAAAGGGCAGGTAAATGGGACTGAAAGTTTTGCTCTTTAAAAAGAGGCATCACAGACACAATGGGCCAAATGGCCATCTTCTGTGTTGTAAATTTCTACAGTACTGTTCCAACACAGAGATGGCGGTGGGTTGCATTGTTGGATGAGATATTAAACCGAGGTGCCACCTGCCTGATTACTTGGACGTTAAAAATCCCATGGTACTATTCAACAAGTGAAGGGAGTTTCTCTCTATGTCCTGGCCAATAGTCCCTCCAATCCCACTTGGCTTGTAAAACAAGAGTAGAGTCCTGTAGCTCAGTGGTTAGAGCACTCGCTTTGCAAGTGAGAAACCTGAGTTCAATTCCAGGCAGGACGAAACCTTGGGCAAGTTTCCTTACTCCACACGCCTAATAATAATCCCTCCAAAACAAAAAACAATAATAAATTGGTCATTTTCAATCTACGACTGTTTGTGGGACATTGCTGTGCACAATTAGCTGCCGCGTTCGCCCACAAATATACAGTCAATTCACTTTACAGTGTGTTCTGTGAAGCACTTTGGGACGTCCTCCTGACGTGAAAAGTAGTATATCAAATGCAAGGATTATTATTGCTTTGGACAAATTGGCTGCTGTGTTTGTATAAAAATATACATTCATTTACAGATATCCTAAAATAGGGTACAAATCCAGGAACTTCACACTTAGGAACTTAGGTAGGCTAAATGGGCTGACCAAAAACATAAAGATTCTTTCTCAGATGGTTGATCCTGGCAGGGTCAGCTTTATTGTGCATGTCTAGTTGCCCTGAGAAGGTATGCTACAACATTGCAGGGGCAACATTGTCACAAGGACTGCAGCGGTTCACAATAACTTGCATTTGTATAGTGTCCTTCAGATAGGGATAGCGGAACACTTAAAGAGCCCACCACTCCCTTCTCAGGGCAACTAGGCATGCACAATAAAGCTGGCCCTGCCAGCATCATCCACCTGAGAACAAATCTGTATGTTTTTGGTGCATGCCACCTCTGCATGGGAATTCCAGAAGTATTTATTTGGAGGGACACATCCCACTTATCTGATTCTGATTCTGAAGAGTATTAGGTTGGTAAGAGCCGAGGCTTGAGGACACCAGAGTCTGCATCGGGAGTACGCTGTAGTCCAACCAGTTAAAACACGTAGCTTGTTACTGAGAGCACGTCTGGCAAGCTTTCTGACTGCTTGTCCAGCTGGGACCATCGCTAGGGCTTTGGCTTGCAGGATTAACAGGAGCTGAATGGGAAGAATCCCTGTCCCCACTGCCTGGTCAACCCCTGCAAGTCTTACCAATGAGCCAGTCAGGTTGTGCTGTCATCAGCAGTGCCCTGAAATACTGCAAAAGCCGCTGCGCTCAGGAACCGGACCACCTTAGAGACGGAGAGGCTGAAACATTGATCGTCCAGAGCCCTGGAACTTCCCCCCGACGTGAAAAGGCGCTACATAAATGTAATTTTGTTGTCGTCGTTGAGACCGCCACTGAGGATTGGCTCGATTCCGACACTCCGTCGGCCACAGCTCCAAGGAATCCCCGCTTACCCCCCCCCACCCCAGCCCACGCCCCCCCCAAGGAGGTCAGTCAAATGATCTCTCTGCACAAAAAAGGGTCGAGTGAACCAAAGTGAACACAATCCACGGTGCCCCGTGCGTTGGTGCAGCTCCGGCCGCCAGGGGCCGCTGTTGAGGGAGGCGTCGGTCCGGGGGCTCTGTCTTGCCGGTCGGGAGGAGGTGGTGGCTGCGCAGGCGCGGTGGCGGCTGACTGCACGGTGCCGAGGCAGGTGGCGGTGTGGAGAGGATCCCGGAGTGGAGTCGGGAGCGACGGCTACAGGTAGAGAGGCGGAGAGGCCGCCGCACTGCCCGGGCGGGCGGGCGGGCGGGCGGAGGCTCAGCCCCGGCCAGAGGCACAGCACAGCCCCCACCCCGACCCCGACCCCCACCCTCCCGACCCGACCCCCGACACTTGGGAACAGTTTCTAACCGATTAAAAGTAGTGGGAGACCCGGGGCGGCGGGAGGGGGGGCCCTGGGCTCAGGGCTCAGGGTATGGCGGGGGGGGGAGGGGGGGAGGGGGGCGGGGGGAGGGCAGAGAGAAGGCGGGACATGTGGTGAGAGTGTAAGAGATGGTCATTTTTTAACATTCCGTTTTCTGAGTCATAATCTTACATTTTTCTCTCCTTTCCGCCCCCCATCTCTCTCTCTCTCTCTTCCCCCATCTCTCTCTCTCTCTCTCTCTCCCATCCTCTCTCTCTCTCTCCTCTCTCCCATCTCTCTCTCTCTCTCTCTCCCCATCTCTCTCTCTCTCTCTCTCCCCATCTCTCTCTCTCTCTCCCCATCTCTCTCTCTCTCTCTCTCTCCCCATCTCTCTCTCTCTCTCTCTCCCCCCATCTCTCTCTCTCTCTCTCTCTCCCCCCATCTCTCTCTCTCTCTCTCCCCCCATCTCTCTCTCTCTCTCCCCCCATCTCTCTCTCTCTCTCTCCCCATCTCTCTCTCTCTCTCTCCCCCATCTCTCTCTCTCTCTCCCCCATCTCTCTCTCTCTCTCTCTCCTCTCTCCCCATCTCTCTCTCTCTCTCCCCCCATCTCTCTCTCTCTCTCTCCCCATCTCTCTCTCTCTCTCTCTCTCCCCCCATCTCTCTCTCTCTCTCCCCCCCCTCTCTCTCTCTCCCCCCATCTCTCTCTCTCTCTCTCCCCATCTCTCTCTCTCTCCCCCATCTCTCTCTCTCTCTCCCCCCCATCTCTCTCTCCTCTCTCTCCCCCCCATCTCTCTCTCTCTCCCCTCTCCTCTCTCTCCCTCTCTCTCTCACTCTCTCTCTCCCCCCTCCTCTCTCTCTCTCTCTCTCTCTCTCCCCCCCATCTCTCTCTCTCTCTCTCCCCCCCATCTCTCTCTCTCTCTCTCCCCCCATCTCTCTCTCTCTCTCTCTCTCCCCCCCATCTCTCTCTCTCTCTCTCCCCCCATCTCTCTCTCTCTCTCTCTCCCCCCATCTCTCTCTCTCTCTCTCTCTCCCCCCATCTCTCTCCCCCATCTCTCTCTCTCTCCCCCCATCTCTCTCTCTCCCCCCCATCTCTCTCTCTCTCTCTCTCCCCCCCATCTCTCTCTCTCTCCCCCCATCTCTCTCTCCCCCCATCTCTCTCTCTCCCCATCTCTCTCTCCCCCCATCTCTCTCTCTCTCTCCCCCCATCTCTCTCTCTCTCCCCCCCCCCCCCACACCAAATCCCTCTCCTCCCATCCCAACAAATGTAACCCAGAAATAATTGACTGGGGTCAGAGCAATGGAAAACCTCAGTTCCAACCAAACCTGTACGGTGTTTCATTTTTATTCCTGGCTTTTGATAAGAGCACCGTAGCATTTTCCCAGTGTCTCAGCACTTTACAGGATTTCGCTGGAAGTGTAGTGACTGTATTTGCAGGTGAATTTGGAGCAGCCAATTTGTGCCCAAGTCGATGTCTCACAAACAACCATGGAGTGAATTAGCAATTTTATCTGGAGGATTATTGGTCAAAAGGCATTGTAAGGATCGCCCTTTTTTTTTGAATAGTGCTGCATGTGATCTTTAATATTTCTCTGAACTTGCAAACCGGACCTTGGTTTAACGTTACGTCCTAAGAATAGCATCTCTGATAATGCAGTTGCTCCCCCAACACTGCATTGAAGTGTCAGCCTAGATTATATAAAATCACAGTCCTTCGCAACCTTCAGGCTTGCACTCACAACGTCCTGAGTTGGAGGCAAGAGGGCTATCAATTGAGCCAGATTGACACCACAACTTGTAGGCTGGTGTTACTTTTGTGAGAATTTAGGATTAAAACTTCTGACTCTTTCAGTCCAATCTAATGACACTAATTTGAATCAGGGAAATACAATACAAAAGTACAAATGGTAAGAGCAATAGCAATAATCAAGTTCCTGTACTTCACAGATTAGATGGTTGAAAGGTTTTGAGGTCCTGCTTTAAATTAACCTGCAATGCATGTTTTGCTGCATTATTGCAATATGATTTTTGTTGGTAACATGTTTGAAATCGGAATATAAGTGCTTCAAAATAGCGGTAAATCCTGAAAACCTATTTTTCAAGTAGGTGATGAAGTTGGCAATTTTGAGATTTTATGTATTAGGCCAAAGTATTGATGTGGTGACAAGTTTTTGTTAACATTTTAAAATTGAAATATATATCAGCAAACGTGCATGATTAAGTTTTCCATACAGATCAACTCCTTTCAACTTCAGCTAGTGCATTATCACTGGGAATTTGGGCTTTGAGCACACTGTATAAATAAATTCAGGACAGTTATGGCTGATTCGAAGAGACTTTAATAGATCTATATGTGGCAATGGATATCTCATTGGAGTTGTGGAGGCAGCAATTTGTGAGAGATGCAGTATTTTGTGAGATGCAAAGGATCAAATGTAACAACAGTAGAAAATGCAGTAGGACAACAGTAATATATGATTGCCTACGCTTTACTTGGAATTTGCGAGTAGGTGAGTGCAAGAAACTGATTGTTATATAATAGGCTGACTTGAACTTTATGGCTTAATGACTTTATAATGTCTCACATTTTGTATCTTTTTAATGATTCAAAACTCTGCTGCCTTCAAAACTCTGTCACCTGTGTGCTCGCCCATTACCAGACTTTTGACTCTCTGGGCTCCCATCTCCCAAGTTCTTGCCAAGCTCCACGAGCTACCTGTTGAAGAACGGATTGATTTCAAGATTCTCACTTTTAAATCTCTTCACACCCTATCGCCTTCCTACCTCTCCTATCTGCTCACACTCCATCCCTCTACCAATGCCTTCGCTCAGCTGGCACGTTCCCTCAACTCTTTCGCTCCACAAATGGCGGCTGTGCTTTAATAATAATAATAATAATCCTTGCATTTGATATAGCGCTTTTCACGTCGGGAGGACATCCCAAAGGGCTTCACAGAACACACTGTAAAATGAATTGACTGTATATTTGTGGGCGAACGCAGCAGCCAATTGCGCACAGCAATGTCCCACAAACAGTCGTAGATTGAAAATGACCCATTTTTTATTATTGTTTTGGGTTTTTGGAGGGATTATTATTAGGCGTGTGGAGTAAGGAAACTTGCCCAAGGTTTGGCCCTGCCTGGGATTGAACTCAGGTCTCTCGCTTACAAAGCGAGTGCTCTAACCACTGAGCTACAGGACTCCACAGCTTTCAAATATTATGCCCGAATCTCTGGAACTTCTTGCCTCAATCCATCTGTCTTGCCCTCTCTTTGGAAGAATTTCCTCTTTGACTGTGCCTTCAGTCGCTTCCCTTTCGAGGTCAGGATCAAACCATACAGCTGCTAAATGCTTTGAGACGCAACCAGCGTTTAGGGCACTGTATCAATGCAAGTTGTCATTTTAAAAAAAAAGGTCTTTATAATAAGTTATCATCTGACATCAGAGATAACTATTTTCTTTTTATAAAGATAAACATTTTGTTCACGTGACTTAGTAATCTGTTTTCAGAACGTACTGCTGTGTAGTTTGAAATGCATTTTGCTGGCTCAGCAGTTCTTTTGAATTGGAAAAGCTTTGTTTGATCACAGTAAAACTTAATAAATAGTAAACCTCAGTAGTTGATATAAACATGATTGAGTAGTTAAGTGATCAAAGGGATTTTAGGAGTTTTTTTATTCTCTACCGTTTATAGGGTAACCAGTGCAGTTTGAGTACAGTTTAGAAAGTAACCATTGCAGTTTAAGTTTTGAGATCTGCAGTTGTGATGCTGAGTAGCAATTCTCTCCAACCAAAATACCCCACTGCACCATCTAGTGGTTTTATTGTATTACTATTTACAAAATCTGAATTTAGTCATTGAGATTGACAAGGATGAAGTGATCACTTGGAAGTTGCTATAAGTTTATTAAAGATTGTAATAATAATAATAATCCTTGCATTTGATGTAGTGCTTTTCACATCTTCTAGACGTCTTAAAGCGCTTCACAGAATAGAGTGTAAAGTGAATTGACTGTATAATTGTGGGCTAAATGCGGCAGCCAATTGCACACAGCAGTGTCCCACAGACAGTTGTGGATTGAAATGACCATTTTTTTGAGGGATTATTATCAGGCGTGTGGAGTAAGGAAACTTGCCCAATGTTTCACCCTGGCGGGAATCAAACCCAGGTCTCTCACTTGCAAAGCGAGTGCTCTAACCACTGAGCTACAGGACTCCACCTGTAGTTCAAAAGTTGTATATTCTATGCAAATCTATGATTGTAGATGTCAGCAGGCAATGTAACAGGCAGCACAGCAACAACTTGCATTTATATAACTATCCTTCACACAGGATAGCATCTTGGAGTGCTTAGACTAGAAATTAAAAATGCATAAGCATGATAAAACTGGATAATGTTTCCTTGCTAAATAGTGGATATGTGAATAGACTTCCAAACAAAGCAGTTGTTGCATCAATTAACTCCCATCAAATAATTTTCTTGGGTAACTATCAATGCTAATTGATTTGTGAAAGATTAGAACTCATGGCTCAATTGGCTGAGAATTGTAATCATCAAATTTGATCTCAGCAAAGGATAGTTGGAGTTGATGGATTCATTTTTTTGGATTGATAAGTTGGAACAACTCTGAAGAATTATGTAAGTGGTCCCGAGCGCACTGGGACTCTACCATGCATGGGGGAGGGATATAAATGCAAGTTGTTGTTTGATGGTGTGATTGAGAGAGCAAAGGAATTCAGCAATCGAGTTATGAATTGAGCCAGAGGCATTTGAAGTTGGATTAAGGAAGTTAAGGCGAGAAGCAGGAATATAAAACTTTGAATTGGAATTAGAATAGAAGTTGAAAACAGTAAAGTTAG